AGAATTCTAACTTTGGTCAAAAGCCCATGAAGCAACTGGGGTAAACACTTATTCCAAGCGCATGTAAAACTGGGAAATGAGGTGGGTTTTGCCATGTTGAACCGTTAAAATATTAGTATGATAACTAAGGCAGCTACAGCAACGACATATGACAAAAAAATAATGGAAATCAAAAGAAAATCAAGAATGTTTTCAGTTCCGACAGAGATTGGAAAGCGGTTGAGTGCGTCGAACACTGAAGTATATCTGAGTAAGAGAGACACGTCAAAGAAAAATTATTGTATAATACCGGAGCACTTTCCATTCCAACCCAACGATACCCTACATTGCGTCATTACGTGATACCTCGTTCAAGAAAGTAGCAGTTGAATTAAACCCCGACGGGTTGAAAGAGGACTATCCAATTATCTTTAATAAATCATTCACTTCTCAGAACTTCGAAGTTTCGAGTCATCTTTGAGTATCACTTTAAAAATGTTCTTAGACCGCTTACTTAGAAAATAACTACGAGTCTGCTCTCTGCAGGCTTTATCAATCCACCGCCTCTTCAACCGAGGCCTCATTCTGGCAGCATTTCTAGAAAAATTCCAACTTTTGTATGATGATGAAAGAGAAGACTTTTTATGTGTCGAGGGGCAATAAGATAATATTGTACTTAGTTGGAAAAACTGACACTAACCTAGTTTTTCTGGCGTTGGAAGCAAGAGAGAGTTTTGCGCAAAGAAAAATGGAGGGTAACCGCACTAACTTTTAAAATTACACACACAATTTGCACTTATAGCGACTGAAAACCTTATCTTATGGGAATCCTCACTGAAATCTTAGCAAAACTAAACGTTTGCTAACCAAAACTTATTCGATGTAGTTTAAATTGAGGGCTGCAGGGAAAATTTATAAAAATATGTATTTTTAGTACTGATACGTCTAGACCGTGTTATATGACCCTGGATAAATAGAAAACCTTTTCAATTTTAATGTCGGACGATAAATGCTTGAAAAAAAAAATAATGATAATGAAACTGACATTTGACTGTATCCAATTTGTAAAACGATAAATTGAAAGAAGATCAAAACTTGTTTACGTCTAAAAATGAAAAGACCTAACTAGGTTACGAACTTAAGTTCTACATTAGTTGTTATCCGTGCACGAAGAGCGGTTTGAGTATGTAGGAATAAGGAATTTTTAAAAGCAAAATAAGTGGGAGATTTTCAGACTGGAAAATAATAGTTTCAAAAAAGTTTTTTCGACATTTCTCACCTTCAATAGGGGATTCCAAAGAAGAAATTTAATTTGCTTTAATTTACGTGCAAAAGGTCTTGCTAGAAGCAGGTGCTAAATAAAGGTCTGCCAAGTTTTGACAGTTGCGCTGTTGGAACAGGTCATGTAAAGTGTAGGACATGAATGAATACCACGTGGCTGGCCTTGTAAGGTAAATAAACGGTTGTACCAAAGGGAACGATTGAGCCTCACCCAAAAGGAATCGAGTAGATAGGGTTCAGTCTTTTGTACTAATAACACGAGGAAGGAGTGGGGCCAAGTGACAAATTATTAGAATGCACTACTACGATTCAGATCACAGACCCTTGGATTTTGCGTACCGAAGCATCACCCTGAGCCACAGAGAACTCGTTGGACAGTTACGCCATGCATTCGAAATTCATTTATTGGCGTTCATTGACTCTTAACGACCTGCGACACTTTTTTTAACACTGTTTCTAAAACGTTGTGTGTATTTCCAGAAATTGAAAAATCATTCAATACGACCAAAACATACAAAACCAACAATCTTGTCCAATTTTGGGCCAAATCTGTCATACGGTAGGATAAAATGTCGATAATAAAGTTAGAAGATCGTTCGTTTGAGATACACCCAAGATCTGGTTAGCGTAGCACAAGAGATTTTCGCTACGAGTCATACTTTTATGAGAAATTATATTGACTGGTCCAGACTTTTATTGATTAGTTGAACTCGGTTTTTTTCGCGATCTAACAGGCAAAGCCTCATTTTTCCTATGCAATATCTTATTTTACTCAAGTAATCAAGAAAGCGGCATTTATTGTGACTTTCTGAACTATGCTATGTCATAATTTTATCCAAAAAAATTGACTGTCCACTCACCGACTTTCCGCGGTGACGAATTCCGTTAAATATTTTACTGGTCCGTCAAATGTCATATTGGGATACTTCAACCCGATTTCATATTGCTTCGCCCAAATAAACAGCTCCAGAATGTAGTTTGTAGCCCAACAACCCAGGGTAACATACCTGGTTACAATTCCATTTCAGTTTATTGGAAGAGAACGCGAGTTCTCACAGATAGGAACCATTAGGAGAATTTCAGATTTAGTACCATATCAATGATTCATGAATCGTGTTTTTGAGTGTGACTATTCTACAACAACATTTGTTTTAGATTGCATACACGAATAGCAGAGGAAATATATTGAAATTTGAATTATTTACGTGAATCTGGAAAAAATGTTTTAACCTCTTTTTCGTGGAGGCTATAAAAAACTTTTTAAATGAGACAAAAAAAATCAGAATTTGCTTTGCCTTGCCTTTCCTTTCACCCGAATTTGATCGCCCTTTCCCAACTGATGAATTCTGCAAATGTTTTTTACTCTTTTTTTCTGTTTTTTTTTTCTTTTTTGCTGCAAGAGCATATCAGAGGAAAAAGGAGTTTTCGTATGGATCATATCTTTTGCTCGTGAACAGCCCAAATGACCTTGGTTTTACTGTGTTCTGCGAACATTCATGAATCACAAAGAACGAAATACAAAGAACATCCTTAAGACAATATCATTAGCTTACAATTTGAAACAAAGGATGCTAATGCCAAGAAGATTACAGCAGAAAGTAATAAGTCTTAGAAAATAGTTCTTAACATAGCACATTCAAACACAAAGTCAAATAGATCAGGATTAACCCTAAGAATATAAGCCATTTTAATAACTTATCCATGTCTTCTGAGTTAAGTAATCATAGTACTGATCTCACTTCAACTAAAGGGGCAAAATGTTCGGGGCAAACTTGACGGAATGATATGACGAGTACATTTTTTCCAAAGGGCATTATGTTTTTTTTTCTGTCCTAATGTCAAGCCTTTTCAAAAGATACCCGGTGGGAAATGCTTTCTTCAAAATCAGGCGAGAAAGAATTAAATCAACTTAAACAATTAAACAAACAACAATCTCAAAACTCTCAAAATTATCAGAATGAACTTCATCGGAATTAGTCCTGTAGCATTCGCAAGTTTTTTTCTATAAAAATACTCTTCTTATCTTAAACTTGCATTTACAACAAATAGCTTATGGAGGATTGTTTTAATCCAGACAAACAGAACGGTTTTTTCAAAGATATGTAATGCCTTGTCGAGCTCGGCCTCAGATAGAAACTTTGAGATGCGAGGACTAGGAGGAAGAACGAAGCTTAAGAATGCGCATTGGTCATCCATCGTTGTCTTCAATTCTTGGGATTCACAAGAAACTTGAAACTTTTGAAAAAATAAATGCACTACGAAAAAATTGTATGTATTAAGCTAAAATGTTCTGATACAATTAGTTAAAAGTTTAAAACATTTTTCCATACCTACATACAGATTCTAAGGTAACCATATTAAAGTAATAAAAGTTGGTAAGTTAAGCCATTTTTCATTACGAGGACATTAAAATTCTTTGGATGAAGCATCACTCCTAATTAATCTTTCTCACTTACTTGATACTTAATGTTTTTCCAGTCGATCGAACAAGGCGTACTGCTATAAACTTTCAGTTTGGAAACCAATCTTGTTGACAGTGATGGCGCGATAAATGGCTTATTGACCGCAGGTAATCGAACGACGTTGAGAAAAACGCTTAAAAGCTGCTCAGACAACGAAATTGCCGTTAAATGGCAGATACATGTACAAAAACAAAAGCACATCCGATAAGGAAGTGTTTTTTGAGTGGTCACCAGCTACTCAACTTGGGGACTTTTAAATGGGTTCGGAAGCCCACCGAAGGGGGAATGTCAAAGATTGGTTGATCGTGCACGTCCTGATACGCCAATAGGCGAAGAGTAAACTGTCAGTAAATAAGCGCGCAGGTTGAACGCCCTCTCCAATTGAGACAACAGGAAGGAAAGTCCCGGCTTTTCAATACATTAACCCGGCTAAAAACAGTTACTTCAGGAAAAAGCAGAATGCTTTGTTTATTTTGAAGTGAAATTGTTTGAGTATCGAGAACAAACACACGCCAGGCAACAGCACAGTTGTGATCCGCAGATGTGAAATTTCAAACGTGCCGACCTTTAATGCTTTTCAGTGGGTAAATAACTTCAAAAGGCCGTGCAATAAGTGACAGCCACTTCTGGTTGGCGGGCCGTTAAATACCCTTTTAGTAGGAAATGCCCTCTGTCATATCTGGCGATAGAGGACACAGCATGTCCTCAAGTGGACAATTTCTTGCCGCTTTAATTTTCTTTTTCCTGATAAGAAACAGAGCTTAATAACTTAAGCGATAAGGAGAATAAAAATGAAAGAAGACTTGGGTGTGTTTGTAATTCAATAGAGATAGAGACAGAAGAGCCAAGATAGGGTAGGAAAACAGCCTTTTGCACCGAATGAAGGAAAGAAACGGAAGAATAAAACTCGAATCGGAGCCTTGAATGAAAAAGAAAAGTAAATGAAAGATTTATACTGGTGTTGCTATTCTTTTCAAGTCACGAGAGCAGAACTCTCTGAATAAAGCAAATTTTCTCCTTTGTTTCCACAAACAAAATAGCCTTTTACTCACGAAGAATAAAGTCAAAACAGACCTCTTCTTGTTACAAACAGAAAACAAATATTCTCGCTCGCCAGGAGCGTAAAGATGATATTTCATTTCTTTTAAACTCGGAGCAGCTGCGTTTTAAGTTTGTTACTTGCGCATTCCAAAAAACTCAGTGAGCCTTGACCGACACGGCAAGATACTTGAACACGGGTCGTTTGATTCGCGACGTCTGTTATAGTAACACAGCAGGTTAAATCTACAACCTGTAAAGAATACAAACTAAACTCCGAGGATGTATATTTTACATGGCATCCAGAATATACTTGATGCCTTTTAGTTCGCATTAAGGACAAGGAATAGCACTCGACTCTGGGGAGCTCTTTAGTGCCCCAGATGTTTGCATTTAACGAAGATGAAATTCAGTGGGCTCTTAACTTAAAAGCGTACATGCCAAAATAAAAGAAAAGAGAAATTACAAGTATGGTAAACCTATTCTTTTCAAAATAAATTTTATTTTTGGTCGTTTCATTCCTTAATTTAACGTATCTCTTTCTCTCCTTAAAAATGTAACCAAATCTGAATAACATTTCGTTGCATTCGTTGCACGCCTCTAATTTTACAAGAACTATTTTACCTTTTTTTTTTGGCGGAATGCGCTTTCAGCTTTCATAGGTTAATAATTATCAAAAGCTCAGCGCTAAGTAAAAGTTTGTATGAGCTGGCTACGCGCACCACAGCGCGAGATGAAAGGTAAAAACAGAATGAAGGAAACTCACAACCGGTGCTTTGAAAATATTAAATGATGTTGCCAGAAACCAGACGAAAGCTGCATTAAGGAAATATAAGCATACATGTAAGTTTGTATGTCATAACAAATGGCATAGAAATTAGTCGCAAGTTTTTTATGTACTATGGTACATTAAGAGTTTATTACATTTTTATAATGGGAAACATATGTTCGATGTACCTACACACAGTTTGGTCTTAGCTTAGATTCATAGTTTAATTGCAGAAAAAGAATCAAAGATAAAATGAAAGGAAAAAAATGAGTATGAATTGATCTTATGATGTTCAGTGCGGGAACTTGGGAAAATCTCAAGCTCTGACAAATGAATATTCCACCTCTATGTACATACAATGCGGGTGGCTGTCTTTTGTAAAGCTAACTGTTTCTGCCATTTGGATATTTTCACGATATGTGGAAACTGCAGAATTACATCCGCGCCTTAACAATACGTCTTACATCAAATCACAAAAGAAAGTCGCCAATGGCAGCAAAAACCCATGTGCACAACGATACAGATATCGAGACCGGAAGATCATCTTTGTAAGCAGTTCTTTTTTTTTATTTTTTTTTATTTTTTATTTTTTTTAATGTATGAAAAGAGAGAACCTCACGTACCTATTTAAGCAAACGAACCCCTCGGAGAATAACTGCTGGGAACTTTAAGAAGTTCTTGTTTTGTTAGCTCTTCCTCTTTTCAGGTACATTTGTTATTAAAAGCTGTCTGAGGCGGGAGACACAATTTTACAGATATACCGCTGAACCGATAAATTTAAAAGCTTTCTTGAAACGTGATCGAAAATGATCAATAATTAAACGCGAAAAAACCAAAGCGTTGGAATATAAAATAACGATGATTGAAAAATGACTTTGCACGGCTACGTTTGTGGCTCTTTCAGCCGTTCTATTCTTGTTTGCCAACGAGTAGGTGTAAGAATAGATTAATTAACATTCGTATATTTCTTTTTTTTTCAGTTTACTTTACATCATTGGCAGCGAAAATACAAGTCTCAAGAACAAAAAAAAAACTTCTGTATGATATGATCGAGGTTTTTCTTCCTCTGGTTACGGGCAAGATCGGCTCGGCAACATTTTCTCTAATTGCAAGAGATTTCATATTTCCTCTTGTAATTACTTTCTCACAAAATCTCGAAAGAACCAATTCATTTATGTGGGGTATGCGTGCTCAGAAGCCTATTGCTTTTGCCTTTGTGAACCTGAGGGATGCCCCCTTTTTTCTTAAATTTCTGTATAATTTATAATTTTTCCGAAATGTCACGGAAATGACAACTGCCACGATCGTTCGATGCTGTTTTTCATGACCTCCGTTTGAAAAGATAAAACAAATAGTACACTGACAAAAAATTACTTAGCGGTCACTAAAATTGCCTCCGCTGTAGGATAAGCAAACAAAATTTTACGCTATATCAGTAATAAGTGTCGAGCCTTTAATCGACAAGAAATCTCTATTTCCTTGGGAACTTTTCGCAAGCAACACGATCAAAATCTGGAAATCGTCTTACGAAAGAAAAAAAATAATGAAAACAAAACAAATGAATGAACTTGGCCAGAAGGTTGTTCCTTAAGTCGAAACTTCAAATGTACCTTGTGCTCGCGAACTTTCGAGAAAAGGCACTCCACGAGGAACACCAGAGAAAAAAATTCAGTTTCACTTTGAATTGAAAGAAATATTCTCCTTTTGTTAAACTTTCAATGGAATTTGCCTTTATTCATCGTAATAATGGAAATAAAACAGTCACGTACGAAAATGAATTTGAAATTAAAATGTCCTTTCTCAAGTACATGACAAAGATAAGAATTGTAAGTTCAAGAATTTTTGTTTGTTTGCCAATGGAAAAATGGATAGCACCGTCAGGTCCTCGCTATTTTCAATGAAGAATAAGTAACCTTTTAATTTTTAACAAAATTAAATGGGTGTAAGGGCGTGAAATAGCAAAAAGACACAACAGAAATGAGTCACACGATGTGAATCAAAGAGAGTCTTGAGTCCTGCTGTTTCAGTCAGCAAACAGCGAATTTTACGATCAATCACTCGCACAATGAGCAAGTGGATGTGTCGATTATGAAGGACGATAAATCAGGAAAAATAGAAAAATATCGTCACGTTTGTTCCTCGCTGAAACAACAGTTTTGCCAATTTATCGCTTACCTGTGAATTAAGTTCAACGGCCACTACTCTCTGAGGATAGAGGAATTCTGTCGATGGATACGGAAGCCTCGAAGTTACTTTAAAGTTTTTCTCCAGATCCCTCCAAATTTCAAAATTCGAATCTTGGATGTGATAGTTGAGAGTCACGTAATGGTGCAAGTTCGACAAAATTGAAAAGCAGCGAATTTTTCCCCTCGATCTTAAGGAACTCTTGCGCTTATCCTTCCGGACGAGAATGATTTTTGGTTACAAAGGGACTATATCTGATCTCTTTGATTTCAGCCATTGATATCTCGTAACAAAGAGCATAATATATTTGTCTGAAGGTGGCTAATTTGTCTTCTCTTTCTGGGATGGAATAGGCACAATTCTCTCACTGGGTGCAGGTATCAGGAAGGTGGCACCAATGAAATACAAAAGGGGATTCAACCATCCAAACAACTGGCCATGAAAAGAAATCATTTTCCACGCAAACATTTACTTAGGTGCAGCGAAAGAGCCTTTTGAAAGTGGAAAATCTCCAAACGACTGTGTTTGACCATATGTTATTCAAGGAAGAGTCAACGAGTGAACAGAACTCTTTCGAAAACTGATAATAGAACTCGATAGAGAGACAGAGAAATGAATTGTTTGCTCGAAAACGCGTGGTTAAATTCACATTGGTCGGTGAGAAGATAGCGTTTTCATTCAAATCTGAAGCAATGGCAGTTTGTTTCGATAAAACTCTTAAATGCTATGTAATGAATCTGAAACCAGTAGGGTAGAATAAAATAGCTATAAAATCAAAGGAAAGCTGTCGCTCATATCTTTTCAGTTGGCAAATCACAGTAGCTACCCACGAAATCAAGGCCGGCTTTTAAGACGATTCCGTTGCAGTAACAATTACACACTGTACCTTAATACTCAACTCTAGTTTTCGTTGCCGCTTGTATTGAGATCAAGGAAATCAGAAACAAGCAGAAGTGATTGATACGAGCTTGAAGCAAAGTAAATACCGCGGGTTATCCACCGGTAATGCAATCTTTATTTTAGAATGATTTTCGAAGGGAAAATATCAGATGGCTCCTTTTTCTAAGTATGAACTTCTTGAACGTCAAAAGAAATTAAAGGCGGAGAGAGTTAGCTACTTCGAAAAACGAGTTTAATATGCTCATGCTTCCAAATCTTAAATGGATGTTAGCTAAGAACGTGAGGAATTAATGAAAGAACTGTCACCATTTTCCCCTGTTCGAAATATTTTTTTTTCTCTCTTTCTTTGTGATGCGAATACAGAAACAACAGATATAGAAATAGTAAAACTAATTATATAATGTCCCATGATGATTTAGCTGTTACTTTTTCAAAATTAAGGATGAGAACCTTACAACTTCAAAATGTAACAAAGTCATTGGTCTAAAGAGATCGAAGATCGGAAATTGAAAAAGTCCACTGCGTAATTTTTATAATGCGAATGACTTCCACCTTTGGAAGAGTGTAAAAACTAGAATGGATTAAAAAATAAACGAAGAAAAGAACTAAAAATTACTTAGGGAAGGAAGTTTAAACCGATGAATAGACCACCAGTTCACAACAACAGGAAGCCGATTAGAAGAGTCTTTTGCTCGATTCTTGTTTCACTGAATGACAGATTTGTCGGCCAGATTTTTCTTTTTTTTTGGCTGCTTTGGATTCTAACCGTCAAAATCTATTAAATGGAAGCTATTTGTCACTGTAGTGCTAGTAAAACTAGGAAGCACTATAAAATTAGGAACCAGCGAGTGAACGGAACAATTATTTTGAATACTAATCCTAAAACTGGTGAGAGTCATAAGGAGTCATGAAAATTACCAAAAGAAGTTGCTCCACGTTCGATAAAATCTCTGCTGCGTCTGAGTCTCCCTGAAATTGAATCCTGAAGAAGAGAAACCGCAGTTCTTAAATGCGTCTTCGCTCTAAAATGTGTACAAGTAAGAAGCGATAAAAATCTAACGCACGTATTTGTCGACGAAAAATTTTCCTCACCCCTCTAACAAGAGCAGTCGCCGGAAAAATTGCGTCCTCAACAAAATCGGACAGCACAATACCACAAACATATTTGACTACATAAACTTAGCTGAAAAATTCTCATATTTGCAGAAAACTTTTCGGAGATTTTAAATCCAGTTTGGCACACAAAACTGAATGAGGAAGAAGAACGGAATAATATCCAGGGTAACTTCTACGGATCAGAACTTACTGGTGTAGCTCTTTCTTTCCCTGAAAAGACCAAAGCATACACAGAAAGAAGAGATAGTATGGTGCAGTTATTTGACGGTTCTCGATCTGTGGGGAAACGCCAGCCCCTTCTCTCGAATTCGTACTGGGCTACGTTCGTTTGCGCTCTCAAATATGCAGCAAAGGAATTGTCGACGTGAGTATAATGCTTCAATTTTACTTCCGAAATACTACTCATTGTTTTATAAACGTCGAGGTGTTTCGTTTAAGGTATTAGTTGCTTTTATCATTAGTTGTTTTAGGAGTCTCCAGACGATTTTAGTCGGTACCTTTTTGCATCCTTCTGGATGGAGCTCAAAACGAAACGGGAGGCTCATGAAATTCGTTGCTCGGACGCGCTAAAAAAAAAACTCGTTACACATGTATGTATATCTGTAGATCTATAAATTTCTACACTTTCATTATTTTTAAAATGTTCTTCAAGCTAAAAAGTCAGTTTTATTCCATTAGGACGTTTCCTGAGACAATTAAAGAAATCTGCCATTGCTTCATTCAGAAAGAGCCAAAATAACGTATGTTGCCTTCCCAATAACAACAACGTCTTACAACGAACAAATACCTAGCGAAGAGACCGACTTCGTTTTCTACTTAGTTTTCGCCCCCGTAGCCTTCATTTCGTTTTAATTACAACGTTTCAATTTGTCGTTACTAAATCGAAAAATGTCGTATTTATAATGATGGTAAGAAGACATATAACGTCGTATTTTATCTGCGAAGGCAGAGGATATGCCAAGTAGAAAATTTCAACGAACGGGCATAAGAAGAAATCGGTTCCGGGCAAGAAAAAAAACAAATTGAAAGAACATAAAAAAAAAACATTATGAAAAGACAGGTTCTTAACCTTCGTGTTTGAACGATGTGAAATTGTCTCTACTGATGGTTGTGATTAAAACGACAGGTCAGAAATAAAGGAAATTTAATTTACCAGCTGAATACAAGATTAACTAGAAATACACAGGACTGACATGAGTAGGATCTGTAGTGTTCTTTTAAAGTAAACGGTGACAGTGAAAGGAGCGCTGAAATGGACCACCTGTTTGGGAATCGAAAGCTGTCAGGGGAGGCTATTTTGTTGATGGTCTTTTCTGGCGGACAAGTTGATTTTGTCGATGTTGTGGGGGTAGTCATTTGAGTGTAAGGCACAATAGACACTGCCCAGAACACCATCTTGAAACAAAAAAGCTTGAAATAATCAACGCAGTTCTCAAAACCAAAGAGCAAAAAACACATTAGAGCCGTTTTCTATAAATGCACTAAATTCTTTATAAGTTGTAGGTTATTAAGCGATGTACTCTGAAAATGTTCGGCCTAAGTATACTATTTGAATAATCAGTTGAACAGTTCGCTTTGAATTGAAAGAGTATTCTCCAATAAATGCTCTCAAGAAAATGGTTTGGAATTTGTTTTAAGAAGACACGCCATTGAGAGCCATTTCCAATCTAATATTTATGAAAATGTCCTTCGTATGTTAAAACAATAAAGACAGGTCGAAGTGTGACATAAAAGGAAGACAACAATTGTTGTTCATATGAACACAAAATTGCTATAAGAAATCGCCTTTAATAACACAGATAGAAAGTATAATATCTAAAACACATTGAATTCAAATGGACAAAGAAAAAAATGGCGTCATTTGTAGAGAGAACTTATCCACGCAAAGCCCAAACAAATCTGACAACAAAGGTGTGACTTCCATCGCGATTCGATTTGAAAACATAACGACTTTAGGGATATGAAGGCTTTTACTTTTTGAACATCTTCTTTAAATTGCCGTCTTTGAAAAGATAAATACCAATTTCTCTTTTCTATCATGATCTGTCAGCCTATACCTCATCATATGTGTTAAGTTGAGCCGAAAATTGGAATATCAAACGGCACTCAACGAACACCGTCGCAGAGGAGATAGGTCTCAGAGAATCGTAAGTTGTCAACAACGCGCCAAGAAACGTAATTAGTCAACTAGAGAGAAGGTTGTTTTTAAAACGTGTCGAGTGAATCTAGCTTGAATTATGTTTTAAGATTCAACACAGATCCAGAGAGATCCTTTTTGACGTGATACATAAAAATACATGGGGTCTTTTCTTGTTAGAATTGTGGAGAAGTGTCAAGGCCATCAGAAATATCCGTTTAGCAAAATGATAGTATCGTGGTGTAGAAACAACGACTCAAGCGTAACTAAGGTATTGCTGGCGGATTAAATTTTTTTCCTCAAGGAGGAAGTATGTTGACAAGAAAGGGATAGTTTCTAAAAAAGGCACTAAAAGGAAATTTTTCTTCTCAAGATTGGCTTTAGAACCACGCTAAAATTGTCATACTAAGAATACATTTCTCTCCGAAAATTCCACACTTGTTGAGGTAAAGTTTATTTCTTAATTAAGACCAGTGTTCTTATGTGGGAAGGCTTTCTATACGGAAAGGCATGCTTCGTTTCTACAGCACCGTACGAAAGTAATTGAACAACTGTTAGCTCATACATGCAGGTGCGGGTCATCTTGACAAATACTAACACGGTGTTTTCACTTGCCCCGAATTCAAAACTCGCTCCTCTCCTGTTAAAAAAGGTCACTTTGTCCTCCAGGAAAGGACAGCGGTTGCACTGAAGTCCAATCACAACTGCAGTCGAGCCTATTTAGCAGTTTGTTCCGTGATTTTAGCCCTGTCTAAGAAATTATGTAAAGTAAACGAAACCCGATCGTACGGAACGGGCGTGCGGTTTGTGAATATGTCAAACGCTTTTTCCCCGATGCGCCATTGAATGCTAATAATAACCTCAGGCCATCCAATTCGATTGACATACAAATATTTAGTAACTGTGTGGTCATTTAATATCTTAAAAGCAGAAGAAAACGGCAACATCAAAAAGAAACATTCCGAATTAGTTCAAAGACAACAGCAAGTGAAATCCATGATTTCGCCAGAGAAAATTTCCAGTTTTGCCGTCTTGAATATCAACAAAATAGACAGTTGGTTTTGAGTTGAAGGAAAAACTGTCATCTTTCTCTCTTCTAGCGTTACGACAGGTGCCGAAAGATGCGTTAAAGTCGACGTCGTTTTTTCTAATCTGCGTTAGTAGCGCCGAAAAACCGCCCAAACTAAGAAGTCGATCTGTGGCCAAAAATTATCAGAAATTCACTGAAGAAAAAAAAAACAACAACAACTACAACAAAGAATACGAAAATGATTAAGCCAATTAGACAAAACAGGGGTCAAACAGAACGACGAAAGACATAAAAGTTCCCGAAAGTGTCTACATGCACAATAAAAATGTCAGCTATCTGTTCAGAGAAACGCATAGTTACCTCTCCCTGTGAGCACGGACTCGTGCCGACATCGAACAGTTTCTAAAATTAATTTTTATTTTTTGTAGACATTGCATGATTTCATTCCATGAATAATCTTTAACGTCGAAAGATAATTTTCTATTCGAGATTGTAAGTGACCACAATAACAACGTTGAAAAGAACAAGTGGAAGATAAAGTAGACAAGGGAACGAATATCTCGCACGAAAATTACGACGCATAGACATCTTCGACACGATTTGTTTGGTGCATTCTTTGAAGACACATACAAGTTAACATCATTCACAGGAAAGCCATCGCCTCTTAAGGAAAAGCAAATGCCACAACACGGAATAAAACTATGTGGACTGATAATTAGGCGCGCGACAAAAGGATTCCGATTTTAAATTTCAAAGCTTAGTGTGAAATTTTTATAAATGTACTTGAATAAGCCGCGTACGATGGTCAGAAAGAAGCAATAAAAGCAAATGTTGTTTCAACAAGGGAACATGTTTTCCATCAAGTTTCATGTTACTCTTGCAGACTAAGAACTTGATGTGAAGACATGGTAGAAACCAGTTTTTATTTTCATGTCGGCACTCCTGAATTGGAATCTTAATTGGCTAAGATATATTGCATTAAAACGTGGACCAATAGACTTAGTATGGGAAAGCCTTTTTCCACGTGCAGAAGAGAACTCTCGAGATTCAAGAGTCTCACAAAGACACACAAAGAGCTTTGGATAACTGCCATGGAAGAAGTAGAAAAAGAGGAACTCTCTCAGAAAGAATGTCTCCTACCTTGAGCTGTTATGGTAAAGGTGGGTGATAATTGTCTCTGTGATGGTTCGTAGTCCTAAACGCACTTTGCAGAAAACGTGAATTGCCTCCTTTAGAGTTCGTGCTTCTGTAAAGAAAATGGGAAAATCGCGCCGGTAAGATAAGTATCTGATTTAAATATTACCATGACATGTGCCATATTTGGCTCATTACGAAACCCTTCAAAAAAATTCGAGTGATAGAAAGCTTTTCAATGTCTCAGGCAGAAGTTTTGTCGGAAAGGCAACCGAATATTAAAGCTTTATCTTTTTTTGGTGCTTTTTTGACGAGCTGCTGTGACTCACAGTTTCAACAAAACGAAGTCGAAACGCCAAAAGAGAGTTCGTGCTCCAAGTTCATTTGCAGCTCTCAAAATGCGGTTAAAATGGCTCCAAGATGTCTAAGTAAATATAGCTGGCCAAATTAGCAGCTGACAAAGCAAAAGCAGCATTAAAACTTTTAAGCGCAACAAAAGACTGCTTCCTCAAACAATTGAGACTAGACACATTTGGTTAGTTCCTGTCACACAGAAAAGTCAACTTTCTCTTTAAAACTTATGGGATGTGTATTTTTCTTTTATGTTTCAACAAGGGACAACTTGAAATTTCAAGAAGGCTGCCAAAGAAACTGATTGCCGTGAAGCAAAAAGACGGTCGCGACAAGTCCAAGACGCGTCGACTGTTGCTAAAGGACCTGATTTACGTTATTTTTTCAAAACGACAAATCGAACCATGTGTGTTGAAAACACGATTGAAGTTTACCAAAAGAAGCCGTGAACAGGAAATTCTCGGTCAACTGCAAACACAGTTTACAGAGTCGAGGTGTAAAGACCACGCGGTCTTTTGTTGCGTACCTTTTGTCCGAAAACACTAAAACAATAGCGCGCCGCCAACTAGAGGTACACGCTCCTTTCACGTTTTCGATTACTCTTTAATTTTGTTATGAAAACAAAATGCACGCGTCTTGTCGCGAACAAATATCTCATTCACGCGGACAAAGCAGAATTTACACTTTTCAAAGATTATTATTTTGCACAATTAGCGAGCTAATTTCGCAGCAATCACATGAGGAAGTCAGTGGTGAATTATTCCCTAATCATGTCTGTAAAATTTGCGCTGATTTTCTTAGCAGAAGACATTCTTAGTGAAAAAGTGATCAAGATTGCTGTCAACTTTGTAGGTAGTCCTATAAATGAGAACTTTGCAGCTGATGTCAACAGAGATCAATTCGTTGTTCCTTTGATAAAACGCTCTGAACTGCAAAGATAAACTTCCCGATTTACTTTACAAGCCCAGCCTTAAATGGCTTCCTACAAGCGTATTACGTTTCGTTAATAAATGTGTCAGTAAAGGCATTGTTATTCTCTTCCCCTACAAAATCCTAAGTGAGCAAGTGTGGAAATAAGTACACACTGTAATTCCTTGCTATGAAAACAAACAAACAAAAAGAAGAAGCGATCTTGTGTTGACCAAGAATGACTTTCGGACCGGCCAATGAAATTCCCTTCTCTTAGCCATACAGATCTCGACGTTTGCACAAGGTTAGTTTATTAATCGGACATTTTCACTTTCAAAACATAATACACAGACGCCTCAGAATAGTCATTGTAGGCCTCAAAAGGGACAACTGAGTACATATCACGGTTCGCTGTGTTACCATTTTGTTCACAGCGGTACAATTTGTATTGTCTGTCTGAAGTATGTTATGGGAAACACATAAAACATAGTGGTATTAGAGTGAATTGAATGCAGTTGCAACATAATTTAATGTGTTGTGTTCTAGCACTGAGTATCAAAAGGAGTTTGAAATGTAGCCGACCAGTAACTTGGAAAGTACCATAGTAATTAGCCACCTCATTTGCCCACACCGATGACAACAAAAACACAATTGTGAGCGACGAAAGAACAGAAAAAATTTCGTTCAATAAAGGCTGTTTGCAAAACTGAGCAATCAATTCATCCTTTTAGAACGACACCAAAAAGTACTTTGTCTCTTGGCATGGAAACAGAAAACTAACCACTGATGAACGTGTTATAGAAGAATATAGTGTAAAAGAACACGAAAATAAACATAACCTGATAACAATTGAATATAGTGGTGGATGATAGTAAAATGCTCAAGCTGGTGTGATCCATCATACAATGAACAATTTCGCCACTGAACTAAGAGATTAAGAAAAATATTAAAAAACTTTTCGTCATTTGTCTGAGCAATGACAACAAGCTTAACTAAAAGATTATCATGGAACATAAGCCGATTTAAACAAAATTACGAGCTCAACAGATCCATTCATGCTAATCCGTAGAAACCGATTGAGAAAGCAAACAAACGATCAACAAAGATCTAAGTTACACAACCCATGGCGTCTTAGTGGTTCACATGAATTTTTTCTTTCTATAGGGTTCTGTGTTTCGGATTCATACATGATGCGTTAATGCGGATAAATTAAAAAAAAATTACATTGTGAGTGAGAATCCTTTTCATCGTCATAAAGCCACACAAAAAGGCGAAATTACAAGAAAGCAATTTGAAAATGAACAGTTCTTGTTTCTCGTTTGGTGAGAATTCCCATCACTTAATTGAAATGACAAAGCTTTCCTCTCCTGTAAGTCACAGAGGTATTAGCGAATCGTCTGTCTTGCAGATATCTAGCGTTGTTTACTCGCGAAAATGTGGGAGTTCATTTGCAATCAACTGGCCGCAGATGAGTGAATTTGGTTCAGGGATAAAAAAAAGGGCAGTTCCCTTGAAATAAGCAAAGTGGATTGTCGACAGCAAGTAAGAAAAAGGTGCGATCTTAAGCCCAACAATATCACAGAATGACATTCGTAATGTAGCTTAAAGAAGAGAGAGGTGTTTGCAACACGTGTTTTAAAAAAACGATTGGTGAGGAAATTTATGTGAATAAACAAACTTAGTGAGTAGGCGACCAGAAGTCGGTTAGAATTTCCTCCCAAACCACTCAGCAAAATAACAAAACAATGCCTTTCCTCGTTAGCGCAACATCATAGTTCGGTGAGAGCGTTTCTAAGCACGCATGGAAAAGAAATATTACGCTTCAAATGTACAGATTATCAATATAAGACATTTTCAGTTTTCTACGAAACTGAAAATTGGATGCAAAGCCTTCGTACGTGAAGTAAATGTGAGTGTTTGTTTTAACATATCGTCTCAACTGACTGAAACGCACTGCCTTTTTTCTTTCCTTTCATTTTTGCTTGTGTGAACATATCTTCTTCAAATAATATCTGCTTGTGATACCACTCAGTTTCACTATCTTACAGAGTTTCACATGCTACGAGTCAATTCGCAAGTGTGACAAAATCAGGGAGGACTATTTTAGTCTTGGTAAATACAAAAACCTATTTTAATGCAAATGCAGCCTCTTTTATGGATTATTTTCAATGATAGCTCGGTGCCATTCGGAGCCTTAATCGTAACTTCGGTGGTTATAGAGTATTTGTTATGCTTTCCATGTTCAGGGCTGGTAGGTGTAGCTGCAAAACGATGCGGCTATCAGGTTTGCGTGATTTTTGGCAATCCCTAATGAGTGAACTACTAAGCTGTTCCACGATATACGCCCCAACAGCTAACAGCTGTGAACAACTGTCTTGTTGGGTGGACTTTTCATAATGACCTCGGAGAAGAAAGAGGGTCATTCTTAAATCCACAATATTCAGCGATTCTTTAAGGTGATTACAATTATGTATTATATTTAGAACTTGTTCATCGAGAAGGATATTTTGTCAGTTCAGGAAAGATTGATCGGTATAAATATTAAAGGCATCGAAAGCCGCCACCACCCCACGCAACAAGTTATTTCCAGTTGTAAAACTGGCCACGAATTTGTTGCCGTGGAAGTTTGCCGTAAAGTGGGCGACCTTTAGTTAGCAGTAGTAGTTAATTGTCTTACAAGCTCATTGAAAAGAAGAAATAAATAATTCACTTTACATGATGTAGATAGAAGAAATGCCTCTCTGCTCGTAAGAACAATGAATAGAAAATCTTTCTTTGAAAGAGCTAAATGAAAACGAGATTGCTACAAGGCCATGACAGAGGCTCTTCCCGTTAACGTGATGGTGTAAACTTCCGTACCATGCCAACTATTTATTGGAGCTTGAAATTTCCATTGAGAGGAAGGTTCTATTGTAAATCAAATATAAATTTTGTATTTTTCAGTTCTCACTAATAAATCATAAAGATTTGGAAGAGCGAGGATTTGACAAATTCGTCGTTCGTACACTTGTTATTACAAAAGAATACAAATGTGATAAAAGAAATTTGAAACAAAGAAATGCATAACCATTTGTCTCTTTTGACGAATACTGATTTAAAATACACAATCTTAGTCACCAAGTTCAGTCCAAAGCCTTGTTATTTCCGAAGGTTTGTGTAATCGAGCATTATCAACGGTACACTAACCAACTTCATTCAAATGTCTTTACCAAACGAAAACATTTGAATTTCATCTTGATAATGAAAAGAACGCTTTTACACAGAACTGTAGATCTATTTTTCATTTTAAAATATTTTCTTTTGGCATTCATCAATATAAATTGAGATTTTACTCTGGTCCTAAATATTTAAGACCGAGATACCACCAGGCGCTGGTATGCACTCCTTTTTTTTCAGCCTGAGGGAATGCGATTTTTTTTCTTATTTAACACCTTCTCTCCAAAGTTACTCTCTAAAATTCTCATTTTGGCTATAGACAAAATCCGTGCTAATAATTTATTTCATTCACATGACGGAATAACCCCCTCTAACCCCTCGCCACCGCTTTCCAAGTCGCTCCCACTTCCCACAAGGTATAAATTGAACTGTATCAGTGGAACCAAAATCGCGTTGATATAACTCTGATAGGCTCTGATCACCGGTAGCACAGGACGGTATCTCTCAATGGCGTTACCCACAATCATTACTGTCCAGCTGTAAGTACATGTATCTATCTAGGAATCTTACCTCCGCTGTTGTGAGTGTGAGTCAAGTCTCGTGCCAAACTTCCGCCACAAACGAGTTGTTGTTTCCTCTAGGTGAGAAGAACACTAACAAAAGTACCTCTGCAAGTCAATTTGAGTTTCGACGAACGTGGACAAGAGTAATAAGAGCGCAAATAGCGAATCACTCCCGAGAGTAGAAACGCGGAAAAAAAGAAAAAAATAAAAACAAAAAAGAATATTTCTTTCTTGCGCTCCTGACCGTTTGCAACGGAACTCCGCCTCTCCTCCACGCTCGCCTCGCGCTCGCCTGCGCTTGCCAAAATTTCACAAGAAAATAACAACTTTCCTTGAGGCCATCAGGAGTTTGCTTGCCTGATACGCAAAGGTCCACCAAAGACAAGTCTTCAATGTTATTTGTGCCTTAGACATTATTAGGTTTCAGGCTTCTGATGGATTTGCTGTGTTTATCCAAACATTCTATCCCGGTAACTCACATAGTAATCTCACATGCACTAATGCGGGCATCTCTGAATGACGTTTTAAGTCAAACTCGGCTGCAGCAAAATTATAGGGATGAAGTCTCGGAAAACTCACGGCTTTAAGTAAAATACGACAGGACTTAACTCGCTCCAAGAATATTCCATCATAATGTTGTATAGCTTTTTCAAGAATCACCGAAATCCGTGTTGATACTGACCCGTCGCAGTTTTGCGTGGCTTTCTTGTCGAGCCTTCTTTCAATTTCATCAGTCGAAATAACATTTCGTCGCTGCAGTTCATCATGAAAATTGAAGAAACCAACATTTTTCACGTCTTAGCTCTTCCTATCACCTGCTCCTCTCTACATTTAATTTCTCTGAAGTAGAGTAGAGCTCTTTGCCTTTTGGCAAGCGACCACAGATTCAACTTGAAGACGCAGCAATCACAAACGGTAAATTGTGCCGATGACTGGCGCGAAAATTGAGCACGGGTTTTACAGCCAGTCGTATTTCCGGTTTCCGGTTAAAACATCGAATGAAGAATAAATAAGTATCTCCAACACATTATCAAATCATTTGCTCCTCATTCTTATTTTCGAATGAGCTTTAGGATTTAGAGGAATATTAATCGGAAAATATTGATTACATATAAATTTAGAAGTGTTGATTACGGACTTCAGTCGCTCTTTACTGAAAAATGCTGCGTCACGAAAAGGTCACGTTTAGCGTGTGCGTTGTCAAACGCACAAGATAAACATTTTGTATGGGAAAGCTCTCAAATCTCTTCAAGAGAGTAGTCCCCTTTTATTGACTGAAAATATCGAGGAGTTTAATAATTATTTAAGAAGAGATACACCCGCGGGTATTGCGCCGTGAATAAAGATAATGATCAATTCACGATTCAATCATTTGACTGAGCTTGAAATACAATCCCCGGAGGAGTCGCATTCGTCGCGAGGGTGGGAAAATTTTCGGAATGGGCGGTCTGTTTGCCCATTCTATGAAAACTGTTTTCGATAAACGTGGAATATCTTTCGTACGCGGTTTATCAGCTTTAGAAATGTTACGAGTTCAAATACTTGTTGGTTCCAATTTTGATTTTAAACATTGTTACCACTCGACGCGTAGTCTCTTTGTAGTTGCTTAATGACCCTCATATTGACTCATGCCATGCTATGTTTGTTATAATCACTACTAGGTTTACTCTGTAAAGTAAACAGTCTCACCATCTAGTTAGACTAGCTTTTGCTAATTTACGAGAAAGTGCTGGTTTGTTCGTAAAGTGTATGTAAAAAGTCTCGATGAAATCTGTTAGTCTGTCGATCTGACTCCAAAGCCTCAGCACTGCTCATTTAATCTTTATTGAACATTTATAATGAATGAATGACATAAACGCTAAGATTTGGCCCTGATTAGAATCGGATAGAACCCCCTCCAACAGCAATTTGTCGACGGATTTCCCCGGCAGTTCGTCAGTACCCATCAATACTTCGGGGTGGAGAGACACTGTGAGGGTATATCGCCCTGCCCAAGAACACAAACCAGATCTCGAGCCAAGACCTCTTTACGCGGCGTCCAGCCAGCTAACCTCAAGCACAACTGTCGATTATGATATACTCACCCCGAACTCCTTCTCTTTTGGAATAAATGGTTAGTTTACGATTTGTTGGATTAGTTAATTTTCCGTTTTCTATTAAGACATAACCGTTATCGGATAATTTAGGTTTCAAACTTCTACAGGGGTACGAATAAGACCAGGTAGAGACAGCTTACAACAAAGAGATGGTGACTTCTGTCGTTTTGAGGGCTTATAAAGAAAGAAGTGGTCTCCACGTGTCCTCAAATACAAACAGCAGAAAACTATTCGGCACTTATAATAGCACTTCTAAACAGTCTAATTCATCCTAATACCTCAGTCGTTACAATGTCTTCTACACACAGGAAAGTAGAGATAGAAAGTAGTAGAAAACGGACGCCATGTCGTGTTCCTGCAACTTTTCAGTGCCGAGGAGTCTGGTAATCACAATTCCCAGGAGTCGCCGGGAAAACACCAGATTGCTTAGGTTTTCTGTTGAAAAGCTGTCGCCACTTCAGTCCGAACCGGTTGCAGTTGAACCGGTTGCAGTTGAAACCAAAGTGTCATATATTCTCGTATTTCAAAACTCACAAAAATCATTTTGTTCATCAACCTGCCAGGCGTTTTTCATGTCATTAAACCACGTTGATTTTTTTGTCCTTTCCTGAGAGGTTTGTTGTAATGTTCCAGTTGTATCATTTTCGTTCCCTTCCACAGAGTGTATTCGCCGTGAAAGTCTATAATTTTTGACACGATCCGCGACCTTGGAAAGCGGTGCCATTTTTAAATCCATTCTAGACAATGCTGAGACTAACGGAAACAGCAAAAGGTATTTGCGAATAGTTTTCGCCCACATTCGGCTTTTGGTCGCGTATATAATTGGCTTAACTGCACAGTGACACCACATTATCCACTTAGCAGCTGTTTTGACATCATCCGGAAAACGACCAACCTGCAAACCGTCCAATAGCATCATAAAGCACGCTGGGAAAACTTGAAGTAGACTTGTTCCGATCACAGTTTTTGATGTAGATGCTGACTTCGCGTAAACGTTGATCGCCATCTTCTGAGCGTTCGAGAGCGACACGGGGGAGACTCTGTGTTTGTTTAAATGGATTACCCTGTTAATGTGATAATAACTGTAAAATATGAAAAACAACGGCAGGACTGCGAAAACTGTTATCACAAAAATCACAGAAAATAATTGCGCACCAAGAACAGGGTGAGAATAACGTTTTGCGCACACGTAGAAACCATGAAAATACTCCACTCGCACGTGATTGGTTAGTAAGGGAAGCCATGGGAATGATCCAAGAAAACTGACTATCCAAGCAACCGAAGTTAGTTTTATGGCGTCCTTTAGATTAATTGCGCGGTACGAGGGTTTTACAATCACTAGATACCTGTCAAATGCAATAATAACCAGCTGCAGGACAGTTATCTGCGTGAAGTACAAGTTGAAGAATCCGTTCGCAGCGCAAAACTCAACCCCAAAGATCCACCCGTCGCATCCAACAGATACCAGGGCGAAAGGAATAACTAGAACGCTTGTGCCTAGATCCACAACACTCTGGCTCACAATCAAAACGTTGGTTGCTGTTCTCATCCGAATATCATCATAGACTGCGTGAATAACGATGGAATTTCCTGCAACTGATGCCAGCATTACAAAAGTTAATGGCATTATTTTAAAGACTTTAGAAACTGTCGACGAGGTCACTGCCTTAGCTGAGGCATGGAAGAGGGTTTCCTCTTCTGAATGGTTCGTTTCCGTAGTATTGAAGAGATCCATGTTCTTTGGTCGGGAGAAATAAATTGAGAACAACCTCCTTGAGCTCTGTCTTCTGGATGTGCCTTTTCTTTACCATGCCCACATTCTTGCGGTCTTAAGCTCACTGATGTCTGGAAGGCAAAATATTCCACTATTTAGTACTACTATATAAATTCCACTATATATATATCTATTATGGACTGGTATCTGTATTTATCTTGGAGATAATTGGAGTCTGAGGCGATTATTCCCTGAGGCTTTGAGGAATTATTCTTTTGGGCAAACAAGGCGAATCACACGAATTAAATGTAGCACACGGGACAGAAACCAGATTACCAAAAGAATTGCAATCACTTGTCACGATAATTCTCTTGGTGTAATGCAAACCAAAGAATTTGTGAGTAAAATAAAACCATTATTGTGGTAAAACTAATCTTTTTCCTGTTCTCATCTAGGGAGTATGACAAAAATCTGTGTGGGAGGTCAAAGTGAAACTTCAGACAGAAAATTAAGATCCCAAGTTTACTTTTGTATGAAAATAGGATTATTTATGGCGTCCTCTTTTTTACGCTTCAAATTTTAGGTTGTAAAAATAGAAATCTGTCCAGTTATACCATAGTCAAGACTTTACACCTTGCAACTGACTAATGCATCAGATGTCCGCGAAATCTCTTTGAAGTTAGAATTTGATCGTAAATAAATTTATGATCTGACAATTTGCTTTCATTGGTAATTCTGTCATCCTACTGATGCACGAGAGGGGTTGCGCATTTCTGAGGGATCTCGTGTAGTTATGAATCAAAATCATTACGAGGAATAAATTATATCTTCCCCTTCTGGGCCCAGTTGTAGTAAAGTTCTAATAGCGTTATCCAACGGATAAATCGCTTATCTAGTGGATATTATTATCCGACCTTCGAACAACCGGGGCGGTCATTTGTTTTCTTCTCGATCGTTCGTGTGCCCGTTTGCATCTACCTGTTTGTTGACGTTTTATATACCCTCTATCACAATTCATTGCTATTTTGCTAGCCAAACTAAACTGCAACCATGGAATAGATCATCAGTCGCAGATATGGGACGCCGGCTGTGGTGCGCGGTAAAATGCGGCCCTCTCAGAAGAAAATCAAAACAAAAGAGCCGCGACTTTTCAAAGGAAGAAAACTAATGGACTACGAGTACAATTGCGCTGAACCTACGGAAAGTGCTGTGTGTTTTCTTCTCTTAGTTCTCAAAATCTTGAAAAAGGCCTCAAAGATGATAAAAAAGCGGTGCATTTATGCAGTAGTTTACACGAGTTTTAAATATATTCTGTAAACCAATTGCAATTAATTTTCTCGCTTGAGCGCAGAAACCGTCATGCTCCTAATGGCAACGAAAAAACATCGCCGGCATCATTGATAGTGCTAATGTACAGGATAAATGATCATGTAATAAAAATAACTGAAAACGGGCACATGATTCAATACTGAAGACTTATCATCGTTTTCAGAGTCCTATTACTGTTATGATGAAATAAAAGTAATTGTTTGTGACGCGAATTTGATTGAAAACTCAAAGCAACAAAGCAGGTTCTCGGATTCGAATGTAACCACATACATTGTAAGTTTTAGCTGAGTTGAAGCGCAATCTAAGATATTTTACAACAAAAATAAATACCATTCTTTTAATGTCTTCTTTTTCATCAGTGTTACATTTTTCCTAAAAGTTATTTTCTTTAGTTTTACTTGAATTCTGCTTACAATTGATAACCCGCAGTTTGATAGATCGACGATTTTACAGAGTGTAACTGCCATTTCATCACAGCAGTATTCAAAATAGCTTCACAAGAAGACGGCGTCTTAACTTACCTTGAAAGTGTTCTTTTCCACACACAACGCTCTCGACTTACATTTCTAGTGTAATTGAAACATTTTCTTGATTTTTTTTAAAGCTGTTTTGAAGCGTGGGCAACAAGAAAACGATGGAAAGTGGTTGAGAAGTCACCAATGGCTTTGTGCACTTTGCGTCTTCTGTATACGCAAAGGTTTGGTTACGTCAGTTATGCAATCTTTGAGTTATGTAATCATGCAGATAAACGGGCGCGGTGGGAGCCCGCACAATTTGATCCAGAGTCCAGCAAGCTAACCAAAAGGGTTATGTGTGTCAGATTTCAGGCGAATGAAAAACGATAAGCTTAGAATTACCGCAGTTTTAACTGCGTATTCAAAGAAATCTAACATTGCTTTGCTTTGCTTTTACTTTACATCATTCTGTGATTATTTAAAATAACTAACGCCACAGACCAGGGGAGTTACCAAGTATAACTAAAATAGTCTACCTTTTCTTGTTTGAAGCTTCAGGTGGACCAGCCCTTCCTTGTAAGTCGCAAATTTTGCAGTTAATCAAGCACTGACCAAATTAGTGGCTGACCGACTCTAAAAAATCCTGCTAATTTCCAATTTTTTTTTAGTTTGACATGGCTGCCATGACCCTTTTTTAAAGCTAACCCTTTGAGTTTGTTTAGGTAAAAGAAAGGATTTTTCTTTTCAGGATAGTGTTAATTTTTCTGGATTGTAGAGTGAGTTTGCGCCTTTCGTCCAAAATCCCTCTTTCAGTCAATTAGATCTTTTCAGAACTGATTAAGTGAAAGTAGACCCTGTGTTTAGCGGAATTCTAAAGCAAAACACCATTTTTCTCTGTTTAGTCTACTGCAAGGCTCCAACCTCAATATTGCGTTCAAAAGGGTCTGCTTCCCAAGCAAAATGAAGAAATTCAGTTTTTCCTGTTATGGCGTTTTGATATTGCGCCCCTATTGTTCACAATAATGCTTTTCAATTTAAAACCACAAAGCATTTCCTTAGCTTCGTCTATCGTCTTCACTTAATCACCGGAAACGCAAACGGAAACGACAGCATCGAACGCATTTTTCAACATTTTCAAAAGCCTCCATTTTCACTTGTTCATATAAAAAACGGAATACATTATAAATAAAATTGATAAAGATGAGCAACAAAAAAACGAAAAACAACAAAAACAACAATCTAAAAAAAGAGAAATGGTGCATTTTCAAAGACTTTACTTTTCAAACTGTTGTCGAAAGGATCCGTTTTCACGAGCGTTTCAGAGTTGATGGTAGGCAAAAACGCATCAAAAACCATGCCTTTCCGAACAAATCCGTGCGGATGGAGCCTAAAGCAAACATGCATTATTCGGGATCCTCGATTGTTCCATGTTTATCCACCAGTAACAGAGGATCGAAACACCATAATTGTTTGGAACATCCTCGTTTGGAACAACTGTATTTGAGGTCTGATTGATTATCTTAATAAGCAGTTAAAAGGACTGACGTCAACACTACCTCCAGGGCTAAGATCCGCTAATTGAACGCCATCATTCGCTTTTTAGCAAAGCATTTGTTTCTAACAATATGCTTCCAACAGATAACAGCCTTATGAAAATAACTAATGAATAAATGCGTCAGATGCATATAGCAGAAAATGGTGTGCAAAGCCCAGGAAGGAAAACGAGCTGAAACTGATTTAAAATCGTAACACCACCTGCTACTGAAAGAGGCTAGCGCTGCACACAAAATAAAATAGGCCAAAAGATAAAGACATGAATACGATCATGTATCTAACAGGTTCAACAGCTATGACTGACTGTATGCCTAAATAAATAAACGAATGAGTAAATAAATAAGTTCGGATATTACAAGAGGTTCCACGAGCAGTTTACTTAGCCTTTTTAAAGTGGTCTCAATGAGGTGATGGCTTTGAAGGCCCACGGTTGACTTCCTTCCTTTCTTATTAAAAGAAACATTAATTTTTAAAGTTAGCTTCTTTTCAAGACTACGTTAAACTGCGTCGATTTTACGCCTACCTCTTAAATCTATTGGCTTTTCTATGGCTAACGATTACCCCATGGAGATTCTCTAGGGTGTGCGGTTCCCATGTCGGCAAATCGTGTGAAACTTTAGTAATTGATATTTCTTTAAAATGAAAAATGTCCCCTTACACCGGAACAATTTTTCGCATTCAGGGGAAACAAAGCATATTTTTTTCTACTCTCTAGGGGACTTAACGCTAAAGTTCAGCGAAAAGCTTGTGATGATCGATCAAAAAATAAGGAGCTGTGAAAGTTAAAATTTCCTCTTGGGTAAATCTCACCGTTACACCTTAAACAAGGCAATCCTTGTGCCATGATGATACTAAATGTGACGTATGGGCTTAATGGAACATGAAAAGCTAAAAAAAAAAAAAAAAAGCGCTTAAATTTGCCACCGACGTGTTGTGCGCACGTGTCCTATACTGAACGATGTATTTCAGTTGATACGCGATTTCTGTTTGTTTTTCGAACCTTGATAGCGCTAGCTATAAATATTTGTTTCTAGCAGTAAATTATAAATGTTAATTACATTTGAAAAACAAGTAAAATTTGAATAGATTTTTTGTTATTTCCGTTTTTAGCAATTTCAACTGTATTTACATTGACGTCAATAAATGCTAAATGTTAGTTAAGTAAAAGTACGTCCAAACAATGTACTGTTTAAATGCTACTGTAGGCCAAGAAAAATAAAACAAGAAGAAAAATGTATCGTAAACGCTTCTTACCACAAGATTATGTCTTTTGTTTTTACTCTATTTATGTGAGAATTTTAAGATAAGGGTACTGAAAGAAAGTGTTTGCTAATTTTTTTTTAACGAAGTGAGTCTCGTAAAAGGCTTGATCAAAGGAGATGCTGAAAAATGTAAAATTCAACGGATAAAAATATTTTTATGTGGATACTCATACAAAATTTTTTGGAATTCTATTATCTCTAAGTAGCTAACCTCCCTTTTATGATTCGATCTAAGCTATATTCGAAAGTGTACTTTCTGGAATATATTTTTTAGGGTAATGATAATTCGAGGCGTTATCACGGTATAAGGTGTTAGCGTTCTAGAAATTACGTCATTTTTGCGGCAAAAAAAATTGACAAATACACTTTTCCAGGTATTGATAATTCAAAACGTTAGTGCAGTATGAGGTATAAGCCCTATGGAAATTACATTATTTTTGTAGAACCTGAATTGAAAACTGATCCTAACTGACTTTTTTTGAGATCGTTTTAGATAAAAAAGAAATTAAAGGATATTTTTTTTATGAAAGTGCATGTGAACGCGAAAGGTTTATAGTAATGAGCTTGTTTTATTAAAAAAAAAAAAAGTGCTAAAAATAATCCTGATAACTGAGATAGGAATCGAGTTATTGAAATTCGGCGCGGCACATAACAATGGCCTACCCCAGTAGAGTATTCGCGACGCAAAAATGTTTTGATAAAATATAGCTAAGTAAAATATATAGTTCATAGCTGATTCGTGCTTAAAGTTTGATTTAAGTCCAAAATAAAAAAACCACGGTAACTGTTGAATTGCCCTTTATAGGGAACAAATTTGTTCGATTCGACATCACAGCTGGAACCGATCTGATCAAGAAAGCGAACGAAGCTAGCTACATACGTCGCATAAAGCGCAGAAAGTCACATACCCCAGTTTAAATTGTCATTGAGGGTTTGTGGTGGAGAAGTTTGTGTCAACGAATAGAAGAGCTATAAAATAAAACCGAGCTAGTTTTATTGTATAATGTTAGAGAAACTTCTTGATAATGTAACCTATAAACAAGCGTACTCGCTTTCGTCAATACTCGTCACTCTACAAATGTGTGATCGGGTCATGGAGAGAAATACGCAAGAACGTGAAAAAGACAAATATACGTACCTTCTTCTAGTTCCACAGTTAAAATTTCGAACACGTATGACCTCCTTATTGCGGATGCATTCATCCCAATCATCTACATCAAGCGCACAAATTTTCACGCCACTGCAGCAGCTGAACGGAGATTGGTTCTCATTTGGGCAGGAGAATGATAAAAAATAAAATTCGACAAATCAAAGACACGGTTGATATCAACAATGCTGAGTGCTTAGTATGGAAACCTGCGGCTTAAACTGATACCAGCATGATAGCCACCTTATTAGCGACGGAAAATTCTGAAAAGAAATGATTGTTTTTTCGTAAACGCGACTTCGTCATATACCCCCCGTAGATGTTCTATTATTTTGCAACGGAACCTTCATATATTTTTCGTCCTTTGTTATAAATCAAAACAACGCTAGGTGGTTTTCAAAATTCATAATTCCCTTTTGTATTAGGTCGCCAGTTATGTCTTGTTTTACGGCTCATCCCCGATAAAACTGAACAGAATCAGCAGGGGTCAGATACCCTGTTTATCGATTTTATGCCAATTTTATTTGTGTGATATTTAAAAAGAATAACATTTTCATTCCCCAACAAAAACTTCTCAAAGTTATAAATATAATTTAATCATGTAAACGCGCTTGAGGAATATTTAATAAAAAACCCGACTTCCTCTCAGCTGGGAATTATTGAAACGATCGACCTTCCAATAATTGTTGGAGTTAAGGAAAGTCCAGCGATCATTATGTTGTAATCATATGGAAAAACAGTCCAATGATAGCGATGATCAAATGCTGATACCTAAACGAGTCCAGCACGTGATCGCTATGATCAACTTATGCTTTTTTTTAAGTCAGTATACAATTCTAGGTATCATTCACTTTTTTCTCACCCCGCTTGTCGGAAGGGTTTGAATTATGGGACTAGGCATTGATAACGTAAATATGCATCGGAAGTTGATGCATGTAACTATATTGCGCCAAAATGAGACGAGTATGTCAAGCTAAGGAGTAAAAGACGAGACATGGCCAACTACTTTTACTCGAGAAACTGTTTTCTGTAGGTTTTACATGCATACAATGTTTCAACCAAGATTTTTACTTGTTTTTTTTTAAATTTTTTTTATTTGATGCACCAAAATGACCTTTAAAGGCTCCTCGCATAATATGGCGAGAGACGCGAGTCCTTAAATCAGGGGTGGATCTTTGACCAGAATGTTGGTCTTAAGCTATGTACATGCGTTGTGGAAGAAATTTTACAAAAAGCAATGCTTTATAGCAATAAGTTGCAGGAGTACTGAAATTAAGTCGGATCAAGATTATATACATATGAACGATGAAATGACTTGTTTTACCAATTCAGTAACACACTAATCTAATTTAGGCAAAGCAGAACATTTCTTTGCAAATACAAGCTTTAAAACTTTGTTTCGCTGATCTGTGAAAGGAAAAAAAAAAGCGAAATTAACGCATGAGTTACGATAGCACTCTTTCGTTTATCATCATCATCATTATCGTCGTCGTCGTCGTTATCAAGGTGGCGATGACTATTATTATTAGTGTATAAATGCTATCATTACTATCCTCATAATCGTCATTCATCATTGTAAGCTTATCAATTAAATGATACAGATAGCGATAGACGGACGTTCTTTCGTTCATCTGCGATCAATCATTGTTTACAAAAATTCTCATGAAAAGAAATAGAATAGATGAAACATTTACAAGACAGAGGTAAATCAGTTAAAAGCAAGACTCAGATTTTCGTATTCGTCTCTTTCTTACCCAGCTTCAGTTTTGAGATTTGACAATCTGAGTTGTACCCTGTGAAGGTCTTACCCGGAAAAGAAGAAAAGCTTGCTGTACAAATGTTTTATAACTTGTCTTACGCATTCCAAAGGTGAGCCGGGTTTTAGGAAATGTCAGCTTAATTTTTATGAGCATGTTACCTCTGTCTTTTGGTGCAAAGCAGAAAACTAACTTACATTGTGAGGCGGGCTGGCATGTAGTCTGTTCTCTTCCCCAATGAACTCAGGGCTGGTATGTAGTCTGTTCTCTTCCCCAATGAACTCACGTGTAGACTTATTTTCGTTAGTTCTACCTCCGTTCTTTTTATTCTTGATGACGTACTGCATGAATAAACAATTAATAAAGTAAATGAAGAAATAGATGAATTCCTGAATTGATATTTGCTTGACAAAAATATTTTTAAGTGTACCTGGTTATAAATCTACGGGCTTCATATATCGAGGAGGCGAGAATGATCTATCTTTGAGCTGTAGCGATATATTGTTTGGCTTATATAAGCGATATATCACTGCTGTTACAACAAGTCCCGCGATGTATCGCTGATATATCGTCCCAACTGAAATATCGCTTAGATATCGCCAGTATATCGCGATAATCAGCGACTGTCGTTTGCATTATTTTTGCGCAGAATTGTTTAAAGAGATAAAGGAGGTAAAGGAGAAAAAGAGAATGAGTAAAGGAAAGACGAAAAAATATGGAGGAGAGAGATAAAAGGGAAGGAGGAGGAAAGAGGAGATGAAGGAAGAAGTCAAGAAGAATATTTGAGCTATGAAGGCGGAGACGAAGATAAATAAGAGGCAGTAAAAAGACGTAGAGAAGGAGGGCATGGAGAACTGAGAGGAGGTGCAAGAGGGGAAGGGGAGGGAAGCGGAGGGAAGAGGAGGGAAGAGGAAGGAGGAGGAAGGAGGAGGATGGCGGAGGAGGAGGTTGGCGGAGGAGGAGGATGGCGGAGGAGGAGGATGGCGGAGGAGGAGGAGAAGAAAAAGGAGGATAAGTAGGCGAAGGAAGCAGAGGAGCAGGGTGAAGAGAAGAATATTTAATGAGAGAGGAAATAGGAGAAGACAAGGAGTAGGAACAGATGTTGTATTAAGTTATTTCTCACCACAATTACTGCTATTGAAACAATGATGGCCAAAATCCCACAGGCAATTCCAATGGCGATGTAAGTTCTTTCCAGTTCTGTGAACCCGGTTGGCTTAGGTGGGGCATCTTCACCCTTGGCCTCCACTTTTTCGATCTGTTAATAACGTGATATAAAGAAATGATAAAAGCCCGTATAAGTAGTTATCCTGGAAAGGCAATAGCAACAACAGCACTTTTTACCAAATAACTTGGTCAATGACCCTCTCGGGATCTTGGTGAAACAAAAAAAGTCTTAAAAAGTCTGTAAATCACCCTCCTTTGGCTCGTGATTAAAGGCTTTTCCAGTCTTCTCTCGACATCACACTTGGGTTAGTAAGCGGGTAAATTGACAGAAAGAGCAGTCTTTTTTTTCATTTTCCTTATATTAAAACAGTAAGAATAATAACTTACCTTTCTCTGAAATAGCGGTCCAGCAAGTACTCCAAGATTATTATCAGTCAAATAACGAAGAGTCTCGTACGCTTTTATGGTTGCATTTTTATTGACTTCATCGTAGGCCCCGCCTGGCTTAATGATGTAAAACTTTGGTGACGCTTTGTCGACGTTGTTCTTCGGGGGACAGTTTTCGTCAAAATTGTTTATGTATATCTGCGAGACGTTGAGATGATGCCCATGATCATCCAGCACCAAATCGGCCATTTTTGCTTTGAAATATGTTTCTAAAAGACAAAACTCAGACCACGTGTATTTGAGATCCATTTGGATGTACACTGTAGGTAATGGCTTGGAAGCTCCTGCAAGGAAGAAGCGTTACAAAAACTGAAAAACACCGACGTCATCTACAGCAGCGGTGTAGTGGCAACAACGATAATAATAAGGAATTTTGACAAGAGAAAATAATTGAATAAGTTACCTTACTTTCTCTCGATTTCGACTAATTTTATGAGAAGCTTAGTCAATATTTTTGTCACTATGGCAAAGTTTAATTTTACGTAAAAAACATAGATATCATAACTGACACTTAAAAAATCACTAAATGGATCCCACAAAAGTACACGTATAAATCGCAGAGAAACGAGGTTGACCCGGTTTATGATGGATTAATTCAGATCGCAAATAACAATTTAATGAAGTTTTTCCACAAAGCGCACTGAACCATGAAGTGAAACGGTTGGGGCGATAAATCAGTTTGGATCAGCTCTTCCAGGACAATCCAAAAAAATATTTTAATGTTGTCATTTCCTACTGTTTTATGTACCTAAATATTTCTTTTGCTTACCTTTTATAAGGGGTGGTGCGAGCACCAAAATACCGAACACCAAGATGAGATAAGTCATTTCTAATTGAAGCCTGTAATAACAATATTAATTTTAAAAAAATGAAAATAACACTTAAAATAACGATGACAATTATAGCACTGTTGCTATCAGTAATAAAGTAATGAATGGATTAAAAACACCTAAATAGAAACAAAAGGATGAATTAATGGTAATGTTAACCATGAAAGAAAGAAAAAAGCGATGCAATTTGTATTCGTATTGTTTTTACCATTGTTCTCATAACAGTGACCATGCCGATAATGTACGGTATAGACCATAAATGAGACTTCTTAGCTGCACTCGTTATCTTCAGAAAGCATACTCCTTTGGAATCGTTACAATGTATGAAGTGTACACTGTAGTTGTCAAAGATACAGGATTGATTAATTCAACACGCAGCGGGTATTCCACTAGCTATGCATTGCAGCAATAGTAAAAGAATGGCTGGTGGCGACACAGGCCTCTACGCTCATGCATTATAGATATTGAAATTTTAATTGAAGACTGTGCAGACAACAACAGTCATTTTGGTGACAATGACACTTCAGGTACTGATTATCATACAAATGAACCATGGAAACCAAAATATTTCAGGATGACTTCACAACTAAAGTATTACAACAAAGCTCTGATTTTGAAATCTGACAAACTGTACATATAACGTGTGAAAGAGCTACATTGATCTCGGCAGTACAACCTTGATTAATTCGAAATAAAACGTTGAAGAAACAGAAATTCAATATGGCTCAATGTCAATTATATTCTCTTACTAAGCCGAGTTATTTAAATCTGTAGTAAATGAACAAAATCCCAAATTTGGTAATTGATTTCTCGGTATAGTTATTAGTCAGGGTTTGGTTTGTCTGATGGTGGAAAATTTAAGAAAAATATAACTCTAAATAAATGTGGTGACATACAGACTTTGGCTTCAAGATTTTAATCTCAAATTTAGAACATTATTACTTCTTTTACGAACACGGGTGGTGTGTACTCTTCAGTCACGTTCGTTACATTCGAAATAATTGCGCAATATCGGTCAAGGTTAATCACAATTTTTTCCGTCACTGTTATCGGTGGGTTAAAAAAAAGCTTGTATTTAATGCTTAAAGAAACAGTGGCTAATTCCAAAATACTCCTAGATAAAACTTAATACTTGAGAACTTTGTTGGATTGCATATATCCCGCTAGTTAAGATCGAGTTTGACGAAAATAAGCATTGTTTTGCCGCCCGTCATTAGTATGGACAAATACAACTTCTCTCATAACCTTACATTTATAAGATGTGATGTCCCAACTAATCAGTGCAGAATGCACTTGAGGACAGAATCCTTCAAACAAACAAAGTTAATAGCTTTGAACTTTGCAGGAGATGTCTTTCTGACTGAAAAGATTGTGGTTTTAATCGAATTTTGTGGGCGTAGTTGCAACTAATTACTTGATCGAAATATTTGACAAACCTCTGAAGTTCAGTCGATCTATCGGGCCACTTTCTACCTCAGGCAAAACTTCACTCGGCGGGCAGCTGGGTGTATGAAGGATTTTAACCGTGGGAAGATGAGAGCTCCTTTTCAATGCGCACGTAAATTAATTCATATTCTCCAGATCACAATGGCAAGGTCAGAGATTACACCAATTGTTATGCAAAATTTATGCTCCAAATAGACAAACGCCAAAAGGCAATTTCAATTAATTCATTCCGTGGCCTTTTCAAAGCATTTTTGCCCTCATATAGATTTTACGATATCAAATCGATAACAATTAACAGTACAGTGCTTATTACCCATTTCAACCCGGTAAGGAAAGAATAAATGAACATTCTAGATCTTTTCTTATACCATAGCAAAACAATAATGTTCCATCAAGTCACGCTTCTGAGCACTGTCCTAGGCAAACTGTCACCAACCATGTGTGTTACGTGCACGTTAATATCTTCGTGATTATTCTTTCATCAGCTGAAATATATGTTTGTCTGAGGGACTTCTTTTCAAGAGCAGAAACCGCAAAGGCGTGATTACAATGAGCATTTTTAAAAGGAAATGCTCATTAGTTCGAAACGTATGACTGCGTTCTTAAACCTAGATTTATATTTAATACAAGCAGATAGTTTCACCAGCTCCTCAGAGGTCTTTTTTTTAGTCCATTTCAAATCGACTTTCCTGACATAGCTCAATGTGTTACACTTTTCCCCTCCTTCCCCTCCCTAAATAAATAGTTTTGAGTGGCCTTGACACAGGCCGGGGCAAATTTTAAATTTGCTACTAAATGTGAAGTCAACCAAAAATTCATGAACGTCAGGCGTTACTGAATGGATGGTATGTACTATTGATATGCTTCACTGTTGGTTTTTTTTTTTTTTAATTTTTGTCACTGTTTAATGATCAATTTGGTTACTTGTTCTTCTTTTTCTTTGCAAGCAAATGGGTGCAATAAGATGAACTGTGGGCATAAAGCTCCAACAAAGCTCCTTTTAATTCGCGTTCCTCATTTCGCAAGCGCCTCTTATTTAGCCAGCGGCTATTATTTCGCTCTATGAGCAATAAATACCGAGAAAAATGTATGTAGATAGGCTATTGAAAGCTGAACCAGTTATGGATTTCAATATACAAAAGCACTGACAAAGACTGTTTACAGAAATAATAATATTTCACTGATATCAAAATTTCAACGATGTTTAAATGACACCGAATTGCATTCCAATTTTTTTTATTCTCAGGTTGAGATAGTTGTAAGCAACAAAATAATAATAATAATAATAATAATAATGATAATAATAACAATGATATGTTAAACAGAACACAAAACGAAGAAAAGAAACAAAAAGGGAACCAAAATAATCGACTAAGCTCAAAGAGAAAAGGAAAGATAAAAAACAAAAACAAAAACAAAAACAAAAAAGCAAAAATACAACAAAACAACCAATCAGATGAACACAGCTCAAAATAAAAATAAATTAAAAAAAAAAAAAAAAAGGAAATAAAAATGATTTAATTATCCCCCTAAATATTGCGTTGGGCAACTTTTTATGTTGCCATTAGAAAGCATCTCGAGCCCTAACAAAGGAAAACAATTCTTGTATGTCCCAATGAAATTTACGTAAATCTTTTCGTTCTTACTTTTCAGTTCTAAATCGCTCTTGGGTTCAACTATGCGACAGAAGGACCTTCGATTGCTCCCAAATTTGACAACAGAAAATAATACTGATTTTTACCTAAACCTGTCGATTGTACGAAGGTAAATTTCTCTTGATAATTATATTTCTTCAAAATCATTAAAAAATGGGCTTAACAGATGCAACCTCTGTGATTTACTGGTAAGTTACGACTCGTACAAAGATGACAACGGCTTCAAGCAAAGCCCCATATTGCCTTGCTCGCAGAAGCGGTATGAATCAGTTAGATGTTCCATTGTCATTTAAAATATTCGTGTTAAAAGAATAACACCAGCTAAAAATAACGTGCCTTCATTCAACAAAGAGTAGAGAGTGTTTTGTTAAAGGACTACGTCACATTACTTGTTAAATACACTAAGTAAACTTTGTGACAGTTTTAAGCTCGGAGAAATTAAAATGAAAAAATTCTTGACCGCAAAGCAAATTTAAAAGGTTAGTTTGGTCATTTAAAGATAGCTCAATACTGCAGTTTCAGTTGAAAACGTGACAGTGTATCGAAGAGCTCATCTGGTAATAGAAGCAACTGTAGAAAAAGCTTCAAGGATTGAGCATATTCATGAGCAGCGAACGGAGCTTTAATAGCAATTGCATCCTTTTTGTAGGTAGCATTGCCAATAAGCCCGTGACAAGCAGCTTTCCTGATCATGATACTGTGGAGTAAATACCCGTAATCCTTGCTGAAAAACTTACATGCGTTTACCCGCTTTCAACAAAGTTGATTTTTTAAAATTGCTTTCGCAATATTAGTGGCGGTACTGTTTACGTAAAACATCCATACTTATTTACAAAAAAAAATTGCTTTCTTGTACCCAAGTAATGAAAAAATGTCTTCTCGTCCCCAGATAAGAATTAAACAACATTTTATAATAAATATTAAACATTTAAGATAAATTGTCACTCTCATACTATACCTCGCCTTTATACCTTTGGCCTTAATCCATTACATGTTTATCACGTATCCTTCAGTTGACTCTCGGGGCCGAGTGAGAGGGGCTGGAACGAGCATGAAAATTTTTCTTCCCATGACAGCGAGGTTTACTTAATCACGTCCTGATAATTTATGATACAAATTAAAAAGTCGATAAAAGTCATCCAGAACTCAAACACGTCATCTCAGCGCTTCCTTATGCTTTTTTTTGTTTAGTTTTGTTTTTGCCACAGAAAAAGGCACAGAAAAAAAGCCCCCCTCGCATTGAAAAAAATTCATCAAAAACCCAACAAAACAATTTAACAAAGAAAATATTGAGCAACATATTTAAAGTTTCTTTTAAATAGTTTATTAAAAAACTTTTAAAAGAAATAAAATAATTACTGTTGTATACCTCCTCGTTTCACATTAATGTGGAAACACATACTGCTATAATTTTTTGAGAAGCATCAGATTATGATGGTAATGGTTAAAGGCATCTCAGAATGTTTTAATTTTGCAAAGATGCCAGACACTTTTGTCCAGTTGTTTTGAATGTGCCTTCCCCAAAAAATGTGTTCCTTTCATTGACAGGGAATGATCCTTTAAACAGAATCAATTTCACTAATTAGGAAATTGTCAATCAGAATACAATTTCGAATGTTTTTGTTATCGGTGAGGAAGTTTATCAGGTAAAATTTTGTAAGACTAACTTAACTACACCCAAGGGCCATACAGATGTTCGTTTGCTGCTTCCTCTAAGCAAAGCGAAATTGCAAAAGCTATATAATTAACAGCCTAAAAAATTATACCTTTTGGAACTTTATAGCTGAGTCAATATTGTGTGATCGAAAGTCTTAAAACCCCACACACTGAATAAGCGAATAATTCAGGATAATTTTGTACCTGATTTTAAATTAGGATTGAAGGTGTTGTAGTGACATTGCAATGTTCTACCTAGTAAAATTATATCTTGAAAAGCTAAGTTTTTCGCGGGTTGACATAGTTATCGAAATACTGGATCCACATGAGATCTAGACTGCTTTAGTCTGCTAGCAGTTTGAATCATGTTTTCTTTTTGATTCTTTACTTGAAACCATGCTCGGGATCAGAAGCTCTGTTTGGAATCTCCGTCACAGCCTTTTTAAGAAATAAAACCGGTTCGAAAATTCATCTTTCTCCTAGTAAGAAGCAAGCCACTTAAAAAAATAGGAAAAAAACTGTAAACAAGGTTTAAATGTGTGACAAACGCGTAAACGAACGCGTTACTAGCTAGGTACACTGTATGCTCAGCACTTGCAATTCCTCTGGACGTTTGATAGCAGTGGCTGATAGAAGCATATGACATCAGCCTGTCAGTAGCAGTATATCTAATTTGAGCAAAGCCCCAATACTAGCTGGAAAGCAGACCCATCCAAGACATGACAAAACCTGCTCATGCGAAGGAACGTTTTTCTGAAATAATTAAATACATTCGCTACTAAGATAATATACTTAAAAATATATTGCGTTCCTTGAAGATAGTATTTGCAGAGAAAGACGATCATCAAAACGTCCTCAACTGACTATTTATCACAACTTGTCTCTTGGCTAACTCCTTTTCCTTAAAAAAATAGCCATGAGAATGTCTTCAAAATTTGGTTTCCTGAAAAATGAAAGACAGTTCGTCGTAAGAACACATTGTCGTCGTCATTACCGCTATCGTCATTAATATTATCGTTAGGTTGGTGTCACAGTTACTGATGGAGGCGATTTTGATTTAGTATACGTATCCTCTATCCTTCTCCATTTGTCTGTTTCTTTGTTTAATGCTCATGTTTCCATCAGTCAATTCTTCTACAAAGACTGAAAAATAGGACTGGACACTATAGATTTTGGCTTCTAAGGTTTGTGGAGACGAAATTCCCTTGACTTCTGATTTCACGCGAGGGGAAGAAGGCTGTTGTAACCGGACGCAACAAAATGAGACAATTAGACCCAAGAGAATGTCGTGATTTTCAAAATTTTCCAAAAGTTAAATCAAATGAAATAGTTGAATGAACAAAGCAGTGAGGTGAAACTCAAGAGGGATATCGTGAAATGTTCGAGTTTTTTTTCTAAAAAATTAGAGTCCTTAAACTTTTTATTCTGAAGAAGCTGATATTTTTAAGACAAAACGGAGGATATAGATAGATATATGTTATAAGTGAAGAAGCCTTTAACGAGAAAGACGGATGACAGATAGCACAAACGTTTGTCTCTAGGATACGGCAACAAAATGGTTCACTGCTGGCAAAATATCTGCACTTTTATCTAAAGCCAATAAAGCAACCTGATGTTTAGATGTTTTTCTTTATTTACCTCGTCTTTCTCTTTCTTGTTATCAGGCTCCTCATCCGTTCCTTCAAAGGCCAAATTAATAGCACTCTGGGTGGGATCTTCATCTTTATGATCTGATTGGCCAAAGTCAGGTTTGGTTTCTTCGTCGTCTTCTCCTGAAGCCGGTTTGTCCGGTTTGTCGTCCTCTTCTTTTGCCGGCTCAGTTGGATTTTCGGCTGGCAGGGATTCAGTTTCGGTCTGCTTGGGAGATTCCCCTGGAGTAATCTAAAGAGCAGGAGACGCAGTGGGTCAACGGTCAACATGCTGAAGTCTGGATCGAGAGGTCCGGCTTCGAATCATAGCCGGGTCATTGTGTTATTTCCTTGAATAAGACACTTCACTCTAACAGTGCCGCTCTCTACCAAGGCGTATAAATGGGTACAGGAAAAGTGTCAGAAAAGGCTAACGAAAAGCTCGGGGGGAACCTGCGATGTACTGGCACCCTATATCCAAGCGAAACTTGGATACAAACATGCTATAAAGCCCGAGATTAGCTCTTGCAACACGGATCTCTAGGCTCGAATGCAGCCTTTGCCTTACCTACCTATCGAAAGAGCTGGAAATAAACACCTGTAGCATGTGGTTCCAAACGAGTGTTACAAGACATTACCAATTTACATTAGTTGCGCAGGTTAACGAAATGTTACCTCTCTTCAGAACTTAAAACATCAAACCCTTTAAGCTGTTCGCAAATTTGGCCATTTACTTTTCACACATATTCTTTGATTGTTATAAGAGTGATATACCGACTCACCATAATAGTCACAGGAGAGGTAGAGGTGTCCTCCCTCTGTGAAACTCAGAATTTGGTGTTTTTAATCGTATACAACACGAAAATTTGGAAGAAAGTATAAAGGAAGGAAATGTAACTGTATCCCCTAATTCGGTGTAATTATTAGAATCGTCGATATGAAAGATACCCGAAGTTACAGCGTAGACTATTGACTGGAAAGATCAAAAGGCGCAAGAGAGGCCCATCATGTGACTGGTTAGATCAAAAGACGCAAGAGAGGGCCATTTTGTAAGCATATATAAGGTGCATTTTCGGTCCTTACCGCTTTTCTGACGAGCTCATCAGAGAGGAAGCTAATGAAGAATTTTTAAATAGATCTCGCAAAATCAAACTTCTAAAACATGTCAACAAGACGTCCAACTTGAAAACGTAAAACCGAATGAAACATAACAACCAAACATCAGACAACATTAAAAGCCACAACTACCTCAGGTGCATCTGGGGATTTGCTCTGCTCTTTTATGCCTCCTTCTGATGATTCGATTAACTCTACCTCTGGTGATGAGTTAATGGGCTGTCCCGACGGTTCGTCGGGTGATTTTATTGATTCCTCTTTTGTTTCCTCTGGTGGCTTGGTAGGCTCTTCTTGGGAATCATTGTTGCGCTCTGGATGGACCTGCGGTACCTCCACGGACGGCATGTCATCGGACGGCGCTAAAAACATTTTTTCAGTGGTAGGGAAATAAAAATCAGGAGTCAGTGTGCCAATTACTATAACATAGCGTCTCTTCAGAAAATAGTGTCAAGGGTTCCTGCAACGTTGTAGATAAATATAAGTTGTAAGTATGGTGATCAAAGTCGTTTGAACTCACCTCCATAAACTTTTTGACCACCTTCGTAATACGTGATCGCTGAAAAGAGTGGCGTTTTCTCCAGAGTTTGAGGTTTATTATGCACCACCACCTCTTCAGGCTCGTCATTTCCTTTTGAGTCTGCTTCTTGTTGAGCGGCCCTGTCACAACCCCCGCCTTCAGCTTCCTCTTTACAGGCTACCTCATTGCTGAAAACCATTTGTCCATCTTTTTTTGGACGACCTGCCTTTTTTATCTGCGTGCATCCGATCTGTTGAATTCGCAAAGTGATTTAAATACTTAGTTTTGAGTCCCACTGTCGTTAATACACAAACAATAGAAAGTTTCCCTGCCGCAACCTGAAATGGAAATTAAGTTATAAACAGATACACCTAGCTGTAACAAAGATGGACTCAATGCAGAAGGAGGGAGACATTCTTGCCCTCAATTCTGCTCTGACTGGGTTGCGGCCTCTTCCATGTACTACCATGAGAAGTCATCGGATGGAGTTTGCCGAGACGTGGAAAAGATATCATTCCCTTAAACAAACTGTTGCAAGTTTATTCATTCAGGACTACTGACACATATCGAAGGAAATTTTTGTTAGTGATAACGCTTCCTGGATGTTTTTTTTAAGAAAGTATCGAAAATGAACGTTTTGAGGTGCCTCAAATAATCTTTGTTACAGACTCATACTTATGTCATAAACTTACCATACACAAATACAGGATGCCTAAAAACGCAATCACAGCCAAACAAACCCCAATAGCAATACCGAGGTGTACTCTTTCCGTCATTCCTTCTTCCTTTTGAGGTTCACCTCCTATAATTAGCTCAACTTTGGTGACCTTAAAAGGGAAAGAAAGAAAAGGTGAAAGACAGTAAGCTTTTAACTACCTCTCTAGGGAATCGGTTTCTCTGTGGTCCCAGCATTCACGTCTTTATTTCTCGGATATAAATTCTCGTTCATCGTAGCAAATGGAGGATAGGAAGGATTACTTACTGTTTGTCCCAGAATTTGGTCAACGATTGACGTTTGGACTGCATTGTGCGACTGTTCATCGGTCGAGATGACGTTGGCAAGTTACACTGAGGAACAACAAGAAATTAAAGCACCAATAACTGATTTCGAAATCCCAGTCGATTACACAAAATCTGTTATTGATGCTTTTGGCTGCCTACTGTTCTGTTCGTTGTTCCTCAGTGAAACCTGCCAACGTCATGATCGAATAATAAATACTTGTTCAATAAAGTCCAAACTTCAAATCGATGGACAAATACTGGGACAAACGATAATCCTACTTGCGTAGCTTGCGTAGTATCTTGCCACATTTCAGCGTAAGGCGTAACCACAGGACTTTATCACCAATATTCATTCAAGTGAACTTACTATTTGAGAGCTTACGATGATAAGGTAACCTGTTACGTACTTTCTCCCAGCAAATTTCTACCTATGACTCTTTGAGGCGTTAATTTCGCTTAGTTTTACTATTATAAGCCTTTAACAACCCATCCACAACAAGAAAACGTGTCTCTCTCTGAGCATCAAATTTGACTGTCAATGTACACATACATGCAGCACTATTTCATATACCTTTACAGCACAGCTCGAAAGTGAGTCGACATGCAGTTCCTATTGAAGTGATCCTTGATTATCAAGAATCGAGAGTAGAAGATCGCGTATATATAATCAAGTACCAATTAGCTTATAAAATTTCGCATTATGTGCCTAAGCTCACATGTTCTGCCTCTTAAACCACTCACCTGCTTTATGAAAACGTCATGTAAAAGTACCATTAAGTGGTTTACCCAATAATCATACAAAATTTTATAAGCCTTTCTTGTCAAGTTTGTGTTAGTTTCGTCTTGTGCCATTCTTACGGGATCCACTGTGCTGTTGTTAGTAATGTAGAATTCTACAATGGCTTCTTCGTCATAAGACAACTTGACGTTGCAATTTTGATCTCTGTTGATTAGTATTATCCTATCCGTCGGGACGTGGTAATACTCTGTGTCTTTGAAGCCTTTGTACTCAAGAAGATGGTGAGAAAGACGCTCTTTAAACAGGGTAAGCAAAGGACATAAGTCTCCCCAAGTCCTTTTGAAGGTTACTGCCGTTATCATAGGGTACACGATCCGGGGAGGCATTGGTGTTCCTATTGGAATCAAGGAACTTTTTGAAGGTGGAGGGTTGAATGAGCTTGAAGGTGACGAGTGCACTGAGTACACTGCTGCTGATCCTGCACTTGTTGCTGGCGTCATCATTGCTGTTGGTGTTTTGGTTGATGCTTTTGATGTAACTATTGGGGATGCTCTTGTACTGAGAGGAGACGCTGATAAGCTTTCTGGTGCTGATGCTTCTGTATTGAGAGGAGATACTGATAAGCTTGTTGGTGCTGATGCTTCTGTATTGTGAGGAGATGCTGAGAAGCTTCTAGTTAGAGAAGGTGAGGTTAAGCTTGTTGAAGCTGCTACCGTTGCAGTACCAAATGCAGATGAAGTTGCTGAATTTTGCGGAGATGCAGTCGTGAATACCGCAATGGTTGTTGTGCCTGCAGGTATGAGAAAAAGATCATAAAGAGATAACATCATTAATATGATAATGAAAATGTAGATGAATAGGGGCAGACTTGTGTCTAAAACTTGCCTCAGTTTTCCGCTGAGGCATTTTCTACTTATCATTTTGAACTTTGTTATATTTCGCCTATCAGTTATTATTATAACAACTAGTTAGTTGTCATTTTAATCCCATTCGAACCCTCCAAAAATACATAATGAATTCATCTGAATCAGGGTCATTGTTTATAACTTATAATATCGATGTTATGCATTATTGTACAATATATCAATTTGAGATCTTAAGGTAATGTCTCAGTTGACTCTTCAAAGGTTATCCAGGCAATCATTTCGGATACTGAAGCCCCAGAAAATGTGTTACATCCAACCCAGTCACATACCTAGGACAGGTGTCTGCATCAGAAATACTGAAAAGAGAAAGAAATTCACTCCAACGCTTTTCCAAGCATCCATCGTGGAATTCCCTCGCAAAGCCGACAGAATGAACCTGCGATTAATAAAAAATGCAAAATATTAAATAGGTTTACTGCATAGTGGAAAGATAATGGACAAATAAGTGAATGAATGAACGAAGGAATGAATAGACCTTAGTAGGATCGAACGTTCGTAAGAACGTAAGAATGTAGATATCGACGAGCGTACGTACGACAGTTCGAACTGACGAACCTATAAACGGGAAGGCGTTCGAACCTACGAACGTTGGAGCGAACGAACGAACCCTTTTTCAATCATCCAAAGTTAGTTAGCCTGCAAGGGTTCGTCAGAATCTGGGGTAAATTCTCTTGTAGAGAATTTTATCAAAGGCAGGCACTTGCCCTCGGAAAAAGGCGAGTTTAGGCTCACGGGTTGCGAAGGATCCCTATCAGTACCACACTTTGCAGATTCAACCCACCTTGATATGATACGTTGCTTTGAGGTGTTTTTGTTCGAAGAAATGCAGTCAAAAATAGAAGTAAACATGGCAAGAAAAAAAATCAACAAAAAATAATGTTATTAATAATAATAATAAAAAAACATTACAGCCTTTGAAGGAAAAAAATTCAGATTGCAAGACATTTTCGAATTGATTAGTTCGTTAGTGTCGTCTTGTAACACCTTGACACATAATCACCGAATAAGCGAGGTCACGCCATTCCAGACAATTTCCGTAATGAAGAAGAAGTGCTTATGATGTACACGGCAGAGACCTGAAATTCAGGATGAAAAGGCCAACGGTTTGTTCAGGTTGTAGACTTGGAGTCCTCCGATTTAGATGATAAACTTTTGCATTTTGTTCACTGTTATCAGTGAGTTTTGGCAAGGTTTAAAATCATTCCTCCATCTGTAATGCCATATTTAGTCACTTTCCCATCTACATGTTGTTTTTCGTGTGATTCGTGGGGCTACTCATCGTTTGAAGGATGGCAGATTATTCATTGTCTGTGGGAATCATTTCGTACATTCAAGGAAGTCTAAATTTTTCAATTCTTGGTGTTTTTTCTCGTTAAATACAATTTCAGAGTTAGAAGATCATTAATTAGTTATCAAAAAATCAATATTCTCTTTTTATGCTGAACGTCTAGGCCCCTTGTTCGAAACTTTTCGCTAGTTCTCCTTCAGGTCAAACGTAATCGAAAACATCTAGTCAGACAACGTAAACTGTTTCTCAGCGGTGAAATATGGTAAATATTCCTTTGGTCAAGGGTCACGTCATAGAATGCCGAGGTTGGAAAAGCAACAAATATCAACTCCGAGTTAATTGATGTCTACCCTTGCCTAGAAAATGTTGTGATTACGTCAACGGACGAAGATGATCCTAAATTCAAAGAGAGAATTAATCAATATGATAGCGTGAATTGTTTATAGACGTTTTTGAAAGTTGACAGCGTAATTCATTACGCACCATGCTAGGCAGCTATCAAGGACTTGCTAAATTGCGCGAGTATTGTGCGAAAGGAGAAAACCATTCAAGTCGCCTTGACGCACCAGTATTAGTAGAAAAAAAAAGAAGGTTAAAGAGGTAAGCTCATACATAATGCAAATTCCATTGATAGCGCGATCAAAAACATTAAATGCAGACTTCCCACATAGAAACCTGGTTGATTTCCTGTTACAACACCCAGTTGTTGATGTGAAAGCGTTTTGGACGAGTGAACATTTCTCTTTGTTTTCGTACGTGGGGCTTGCGTCGGCGAACAAAAATCGCTTACTTGGTAAAAATGAACTGCACTAACTTGGTTTCACCTACCTTCTGTCTTCGCAGTAGATTCCAAGGACCTTTTTCTCGCAAACAATTACGGAATTTGCGGCACGGCGCCGTGTATCACGCGAACGTAAAAAGCTTTGGTTCCAGACCCCACTTAATAATCATGCGGAAACTCGATACGGCAACTTCGGAAATTGCTCCTATAATCCTTTCGTCACTGCACAAAGTTCACCTGGACGAAAGAGACATGAATTCAAAGAAAATCGCGGGTAAAATGTTCAAGTAAGCCGCTTTCCATACGCACGTCTTTGTAATTTAGGGAAGTTATTTTTATCTTGTTTTAATTATTTTAATGATGTCGTCATTCAAGGCATTTTTTTGAAGTTAGGATCACAAGTAACGCAACAACAGAAGGTTTGGCTGCAATATCCCCAGTTTGTCTATACATCTACATTTTAATCTTTATGGATGTCAACAAGCTGTGCTTGTTAGTTATGAATCAACTATTGTGTTAAGAGTATTCAGATATTGAAGAGGATACGAGTGAACGTCATATTGCCTACGATACAGGATATAAAGGAAATATTAGCTCAATCGCCTCACCAGGACAGAAAAATTAGTGAGACAGGCTCTTTGCTACTTTCCTCCGAAACTTACGGATAATTGGGACTAATTGTGACTAAATGCCTTTGTCTTTAAAATTCATAGTAAAATAATAAAGAAAGTCTTCACTTTAACGTCGACGATAGTTTCGTGACTCTTCGACACTGGGATAAATTAATTTGATCTGTTCTCTTCTGGATTTCCGGTAGATTATTTAGTACCGTGACGAATGCATCAAAGATCGAAAGTGGAACTTCTACCTGAAATTTGTTTGATTTTAATGCATCTCAGTGAGAAAAGAGTCTGAAAATATTTCTTTGAGATGTTTCCGGAAAAATCAACCAAATGGCACACTGATAGAACAACTTTGAGCGATTACATTTTTTGAATTCTTACAGTTGATGTCAAGCATTCTTAGATTAATTAAGCCGCCAACTAATATGAGAATCATAGGACCTGCGTAACAAATTAAACGATACAACATGTGGAAAATACTCTGAAGACTTCATTTGAACACACGAACTTCATTTAAGCCAACGGAAAACTGTTATGTTACGGTTTTATACGGTTCCAATATAAAACCACTGTTTGATATTCATGTTTTGCTTCGTTATTTAGAAACCGGATGTTTTCTTACGTTGTAATCTTGAATGAAAGAATATTGTTTCAATCGGCATAGTTAGTTCTCTTTCTATCGTGTTATTTTGTGTCATATTTTAAAGTCATACAAATAATTTTTTTTTCGATTTAAAAAAAAGCCAGTTCCAGGCTCTCTGTCAGGGAAGACGAGCGAGAAAGAGGGCGAGTGACAAACGTCGGAGGCGGTTGTCAGGAAAACGAACTTTTTAAATGACAACAGGATAATAAGCGCAATTTCCTCAGCTACGGTGTCTAGTTTTAACATATTTGCATAATTTTTAAGTGGGGTTTCGTTCGCGTGATCTTGCGGCACCCTGTTCAGAGTTTGAAAAGTTATGGATTGAGACAAAATTGGCGGTTGGGTGTCACGCGATTTACGGTTACTTCGTTCCCAATCCTCAGTATAATTCTTGGCCCCCAGGACCCAGGAGGGGAATGCAGCCTTGTAAGTAGCCTACAGTGAAGGCTTCTTATTAGGGTGAGCTAACACTATAAGTCCACGATCGTTTATCCGACTGGCCATGTTTGATTTGGAGTTAGAGTGGACGATGGGGGTAGGGGGCGGGGGAAGGATGATATATTCACTCTCCCACCGCACCCCTCTCCTCATTCTTGGCCGTCGACCGCCCCTCGGTAAAGTACTGCTCATTATTTATCGCCTCAGGAGGGGGGGGGAAGTGTCGGGGATTTTGGTTGTGTCACCATCAAAGTTATCTCTGATCCCTCAGCAGCCAGGAGCCCATCAATTAATGAACTACATTTTTACATGCACTACAATTTATGGCCCCCTGGATCCCCATAGAGGTCATAATATTTTTTATGATCCACCTTTATTGGCAGCTAGTCGGTAATCAGCCTTCTATAGTACCCTCTCTTTAAATGGGACTGGTCCCTCAACGGTAAATTATCGGTTAATTATTAACGGTTGATTATAAATTAATGTTATTGGCCAATTATCCAATCCAGTCCGCCTTGCATTGTTCTCCAGTCCAGGGTTAATAGATCTAGAATTTCATGATTCTTTTAAGCACAACAAGCCTATTTCTTATAAAAAGTATTTCCTTTTTCATTTATTTATCTATCTGGATTTTAAGTTCGAACAAAGAAATTCAGTGTCAAAACACAGAGCGTGTTTCCCGTGCACATGACAGTTTCAAGCAGAAAGATAAAAATTTAGAGTATATTATGGATTTCATAGTAATTTGACCGCGGACAATGTCGATAATCAACACCACTGAATCATAACATATTAATCAATGTCAGTGCCTTTAATTTTTTAAAACTCAGAGATATCCTCCACTAATCTGATTACATTGTACATCAGTTATGTCAGTAATTTCTGGTTCCATCACATCCTAAGTAACACGTATTAGTGCTTACAACAAAATATCGCTTGATCACGAGACCTGGCAAGTATTAGGCTATAGCTAGCAGTCGTTGAGTAACAGTTTTCTCATGGAAAACAGGATCCATTCCCTTCTCTCACAGCATAGGCGATTCCTATTTTATAAGCACAAAGAGCACGTGAGCAATAATTGGGCGGTAAATTTGAGATCCGACTACGTTGTTATAGGGACAGTATATTGTACATTGTACAAGGAGTAAAGGAGTTATGCAGCCAGTCAGTAAGTCAGTCTAGTTGTGGTATAGTCAGGAGCCATTCAGTCAGTAAGTCGGTCGGTCAGTCGGTCTATTGGTGATGATCAGTCATTCATTTGGTCAGTCAGTCAATGACTCGGTCAGTCAGTAAGTGAAAGAGTCAGCAGGGTGGCAAGTCACACGGTTAGTCAGTTTGTCTGTCAGTAAGGGTGTTATTCAGTGAGTTAATCGATGATTTAGCGTGTGAGTTAGTAAGTGAGTCAGTGAATTGATGAGTATGTTAGTCAGTCAGTCTGTCCGTCCGTTACTTCGTAACTCGATCATCTTCTGTTTCCATAATTTCGTCAACAAACTTTATTTTTCACGATATGGAAGTCCAGCTTTCAGGAAGGATACCTTAAATTCTGATTGACTATTTCAGATGACAAGTAAATAATCAAATGTGCCCTTAGGATTTCTTTTCAAGAGATGGCCACAAGCAGCGCATACAATGAGGTTACAGCTTTACTTACGAATGAGTCATTGTCGTAGTGCCTGTGGTGCTGCACAGGATACCCGTCATAACCGACTTTTTCTTGCGGTGACGGATAATCGTCATGCTCGTAGTATTCCCTGGGTGATTGATAGACCCTTGGCTGACCGTCTTCTTGTTCGTAATGTTCCCTGGGCGAGTAATGGACCGGTGACTGGCCGTCGTCTTGTTCCCTCATAAATATCTTAGGCTCGTGCAACTCTTCAATTGGGACGCCATGGTCAGGTGTCCATGTTTTTCGTCTCCCTTTTCGTTTAAATGACTAATCAAAAATAATAAAGGTGGTAAATTTCTAAGGAAATTTTGGTGTTGCGTCGGAGGAAAGAGTACAACAGGGTAGTTTAGTATTATCAACTGAGTTGATAACGTTAATTGGCCACTGTAAAGAGTATTAATACTCACGTTTCGAGCGTTATCTCTTCGTCAGAGAAAATGAAGGGCTTACCCTCGAAAGCCAGCTTTGAAATTGTTTTACGGTGGCCAATTTACGTAATTCAGTTGATAATACTAAATTATCATATTCAGAAATAAGTTCAATTTATTGTTGTGCAATCCTTTGTTATTTATAAAAATGGTAGAAATATATAACGATTCGAAGTAACCGTACAAGATTTACGAAAAAGGAAATGAAAAAGAACAAGAAGGGGAGAGAAGAAAATTTGGGAAAATCCAATCAAAACTCTCATTAGAACACGGACAGTGTCAAGTTTTCAAGTCAGAATCGCAACTCGTAATAACGTTTTACTTAGACATGGTTTGATGCTACTCTGGTTGAAAGATTTAATAAATGTAACCGAGAAGTTACAATTCATAGACCCAACATTTCGACACTCCTGTTTAGTGCCTTCATCAGGGGTGATTTAAACGCTGCATCAAGAGGTCCCTTTATACGCTCGCTAATTAGCTGCCTATTTTTTGACGAGTTGTAAATAGGCGTCAGGAAGTAAGCCGCCATGATCACGATTTAAAGGAACGTGGGCGGAGTTGAAATGCCAAGCTTCCAAACAAAGGCGCTAGTGGTAACTGTCGTTGCATTTAGTGTTTCTAAATGCTAAGTAAAAATCACTCCTAGAACAGCTTAAATCAGAAAGCAGATTAAATTGCATACATCTGATACATACATACCACAAAGCAGGAAAGTAGAGCGATGCTGAATACGATTATCAGAGCAATAACAATAGCAATCCCTATTTTTCTGTTCTCGGACATCTGCTCCGGGATGTCAGGCTTGTCTTTTCCCATAAGTTCAACTTTGCTAACCTGTAATATTTTTACAAAATAGGATGACTCAGTCAAGTGGAAGAGCTCTTGAGTTAAGCCAACATGATCCTTAGTATAATCAAGAAAAACGCGAGAAAGTGCAAATGACTAGATAGAGAATAGGTTAATTTTTTGATCCGGTTGGTTTAGAAAAAAGAGGGATTTTTTTTGTCTATTAGTCGCAAGGCCATTTAGGAAAAACTAGTCCCTATAAGTCGTGGTTAACTTGCTGAAAGCGGAAGTAATGCGTGACATGGAAAGATATTAAATCATATCTCATTTCGCCAGTTCCACCACCTTCTATACACACCCATTAGATGTTCTCTACTACTAGTAACGAGCTTCAAGCAAAATATGGCAAGGAAGTCTGTGATCACATGTGACGATAGCAACCTTTTTTCTGCGGCCTTTTAAATCCGATGGATCGTAATCTAAGTATAAATTACCTCTCCAAGAAAGACAGGGTCCAGCAAATGCATTTTGTCGTTCTTCCAATAGTCATAAAGTGTCTTGTAAGCAAGAATCGTACGATTCCTATCCACGTCTGAATAACTAAGATCTTTTTCACTCTTCGAGATGAAAAAGTACAGTATAGCCTTTTCAGTGCTTCTGCTAGCACTGCAGTAGGTTTCCTCGTTCATGAAACGAATACTTTTTTCACTAACTTTTCGCAGCTTGAGTCCTTTAAATTCGTAAAGTTCACCAGAAAGTTTTTTTACAAAAATTGGGAGAAGATCACATAGTCGTGTCCATAACATTTCCCATGTCACCTGGATGAAAATACTGGGATCTTCTTCCGCCGAAAAACACGCTGCAGAAAAAGGGAAGATATTAAGAAGATGTTATGACAATAACAACTACATCATCAGTTAACCACCACCAACAACAACAACGACTGACGGAAACGGTTTGTTACCATGTTGCCTGACAAATAGGGCGTGGTGATTTTGTCATAAATGTAAGCTTAACCAATAGATAAGAATCGACAAAGACCGGAAATTCCTGTGTGACCAAATTTAAGACCATAGCTAATATAAGAATAGGATCTAGTAGAATTACGTGTGAGACAGAGTTGTACTTGATGTGATCGAATAGTGCCTTTGAGAATGAAATACTGCTAAAACGTTTTGTGAATTTTAGAGATCACTTAAGGAAAGGGGTCGTTCTCCAAAGAACAATAACAGCAGCTCTAGCAACGAAATCATCATTTCTGTACATGACTCTAACAATAGTTTTGACCTAATTGCTTCTGTTTCGTTCCCTGATACGACATAAACAAATGAAAATAAACAAAGGAAAAAAACATATGTGGAAAAAGAGAAACACAATTGTAAATAATAAAGTTCGTTAACATACCGAAGATGCCGATAAATACCAGGAGCAGTAATGCAGGTCTCATCGTAAACCTGTTTATTAAAAAAAATCGATTCACTGATAAGAAAATATAATTTACTGGAAACTTAGTATACCCTTGTCCAGTTTTAGGAAACGGTATAAGTGGTGGATCTAGGCGGTGGACCCAGGGATCCCGGAACCTCCCTCCCATCAGATCAGACGTATGCTTTTCAGCTACTTGGCTATCACCAAAAATTCTTGCAACGACAGGATCGCATGCT